CTACTTAAGGCTGCTTTGTGCAGTAACTTTTGCTGATATGAAGATCATTGCCATAGCAGAAAATCATGATGTGGAGTATGTCTTGCCTTGGGGTGCAGTTTTAATAGGAGTCTTCCTTCTACTATGTCTGATTAAATTGCCCTTCTTAAACCACCCAAATGCTATACAATTTGCATATTTATTTATTCATTTTTATTATGGTGGTCCATTAATGAAGTACAGCTGTATTTTTAAAAGACCAATTTCTAAATATCAGTCAAAACCTTCCTAACAAGTTAGGTCATTATGTGTAATTTGAAGTTTGATTTGGAGTCTTATGTTTGTGCTTTTTGATATTAAAAAAGTGTTTGCTTCAGAAATATGCTTCAAAGACTGGTATATTGTAGTTGCAGGTTGAATTTCAAAAAACACCACAAGAACCAATTTTGATGTGATTGTTTGCCGGTAACCCATGGAGTTTTATGTACTCTTGAAACAATCTATTTCTCTAGAGATTATTTGAAGACTATGACTGTTGTGTCCCATTGGGCCTTAATATTGTTCCAGTTTATTGGTCAGTGCCATCCCCAATCTTTCAGTACTATTTAACTTAAGGTTAATATAAAGAAAGGATCCAAAGAAGATTCCTACTTCTGTGAATTGTGTATTAAAATAAGCTGGTTGAATAATCTGAATTAGTGTTTCAACCAGTTGATTCCAGATATATCAACTAAGGTTCTGTCAAGAAAAAAGCTATGTAAAACTGATAAACATCTCTCAGTTACAGTTCATGAAAGTTAGGTTGACATTACTACCATGGAAGTCCAATTCTGTATGGCAGAAACTGTGTGAGGTTACCAAAACAGAAACTATTAGGAGAAACCCGAGCCCTTACATCCAATCTCCTTCCGGTTGAATCTGGCCGATCTGCTGTCCCAGATAATCTCTTTCTCTTTCATAATCCCTTTCTCACACTTTTAACATTTTTACCCATTTTGAAATGTTGAAATGCTTTTTACAAGGCATTCTTTAGAAGTAAGATATTTGAGCTAAAATATAGTGGCATTATTGGTGACATTAAAATACCATAGTAGTAGCATTAAAATATAATGATATTTATTATTTTGTGTTTGATCTTTGGCCCCATTCACCATTGCAGTGTAGAGCTACTCTGAAATTTAATTTGGCCCTTGAGGGAAAAATAACTGTTCAGTCTAGTAACATAAAGCAAAATGATATAATATAACACAATCTGTTGTAAATGCTTTGCGCCACAAAAGTACAGTAGTCTATAAATCTATTATATATGGACGATAAGCATTGTATAAATTGAATATATGTGATTTCTTAACATCAAAAATTATGTTTTTGTTTTTCCCATTAAGACGCTGTGTGGACAGTAATGACCGCACGTTTCCGATTGCCTGCTGGCAGAACCTACAATGTTCGAGCATCTGAGCTGGCACGAGACAGACAACATACAGAAGTGGTCTGCAATATTCTTTTTCTGGATAATACTGTGCAAGCTTTCAGAGTTAACGTAAGTGCACTTGTTGAAGAAACGTGGTCTATCTTAAATATTTCCTCAGAATTAAGTTCTAGAATGCAAAAGGTATTTTTTAAGGTACATATTGAATGACAGTTGACCAGTAGAATATTTCAGCCATTCAATTATTTGCAAAACCCATGGTCATTAAGCAAAGTGAAAGGGGTCAGTTATAAACACAGTTCCCCCCCCCCACACACACACACACACTTGCCAGTGCATATAAAAGCTTAAAAACATATTTACAATTATTATAGCCACATTTATTGAGTGCATAATAGCCTAAAAAGATTCAAAAGTAAAACTAATAATTAAAAAAGACACAAAGTGCACAAATGCTGTAAGCAGACTGGATATTACTTTATGTGTTTATTTGCTCACATGATTAATTGTTTCATAGTTGTTGAAGTCTGTTTTTATTGTAATATTTTTATATGGCATTGCATTTTGCGAAAGTTGTAAGCTGCCTTGAGTCTCCTCTGGGGTGAGAAAGGTGGGGTATAAATGAAGTAAATAAAATAAATGTGGCCAACAGAATTGTGCTATTCTTAATTGAAGAGTGCTATATTAGCAAAGTGCTCTAAAGCAAAGTACCTTAAAGCAAGATACATCTGTATTTGGATTGCTTTCCCACTTCAATAAATATGGAAGCTTTGGCTAATTAAACCTGGGATAATTAATTTTATTTTCAGTACCTTGTTTGTCTTGTGGCAAAATCATGAATTCTGATCTTGCTTGTTTAAAAACTGTTGGCAGTTGGTGGCCAATAGTTTAAACAAGCAAGATCAGAATTTCTAGTTCTAGTTTTCTGAAACACGTTTCCTAGCCTAGTCAATCCCAATTCAATGTCCTTCTTCCTTTGCTTTCCCCCACTATTCATCCACCAGGCTGCATTATGTTTCTGTCTCACCATCACTTTTCCCATTGCTGCTACTTAAAACTACCTTACATATGAGGGATATGTTTATAATGTGTATGTGAAATGTACATAATCATAGAATCCTATAACAAAAGAGTTGGAAGAGACCACATGGGCCCCCTGTCATGCAGGAATAGTATCAAAGTATCCCTGACAGATGGCCATCCAACCTCTGTCTTTCCAAACTTTCCAAGAAAGGAGCTTCCACCACACTCTGAGGCAGAGAGCTCCTCTGTTGAACAGCTCATATGGTCAGAAAGTTCTTCCTAATGTTCAGGTGGAATCTCTTTTTCTGTAATTTGAACCCATTGCTCCTAGTCTTAGTTTCAATACTGCTCCCTCTTCCTTATGACACTCTTTCACATATGGCTGTCATGTCTCCTCTCAGATTTCTCTTTTGCAGGCTAAACATAACCAGTTCTTTAAGACGCTCCTCACAGGGCATGGTCTCCAGACTTTTGATCATTTTAATCACCCCCCTCTGGACACCTCCCACCTTAATATCTCTTTTGAACTGTGTTTTCCAGAATTGGGCATAGTATTCCAGGTGAGGTCTAAACAAGGCAGAATACAAAGGAACCATAACTTCCCTTGATCTAAACACTATACTCCCTTTGATGCAGCCCAAAATCCCATTGGCCTTTTTAGCTGCCACATCACACTTGTTGACCCATGCTCAACTTGCCCTTGAAGACTTGACTGTTTCACATGGACTGTTAGCAAAGCAGGCATCACCTATTTTGTATCTTTGCATTTTTTTTCTGCCTAAGTGTAGTATCTTACATTTGTCTTTGTTTAAATTCATTTTGTTAGCTTTGGCCCAGCTCTCTAATCTGTTAAGGTCATTTTGAATTCTGATCCTGTCCTCTGGAGTATTAGCTATCCTTTCTAATTTTGTGTCACCTGCAAACTTGATAAACATGCCCTCTAAACCTTCATCCAAGTCATTAATAAAGATGTTGAACAGAACTGAGCCCATTACTGAACCCTGCGGCACTCCACTAGTCACTTCTTTTCAGGATGAAGAGGAACCATTGGTGAGAAGCCAATTACAGATCCACCTAGTAGTAGTATTGCCTAGTTTGCTTGCGAAAAGATCGTGGGGAGAATTTGTTGAAGGCCTTATTGAAGTCAAAATAGGCTACATCCACAGCATTCTCTGAATCTACCAAGCTTGTAACTCTATTGAAAAAAAGAGATAAGATTAGTCTGGCATGACTTGTTTATGATAAATTCATACTGACTGTTAGTAATCACAGCATTTCTTTCTCAGTGATTGCAGACTGCATCCTTAATGATCTGCTCCAGAATCTTTCCTGGTATTGATGTCAGGCTGACTGGGCTGTAATTGTTTGGGTCCTCTTTTTTCCCTTCTTGAAGATAGGGACCACATTTGCTCTCCTCCAGCTGTTGGGACTTCTACTGTTTTTCAAGAATTCTCAAAAATTATTGCCAGTGGTTCTGAAATGACTTCTGCTAGTTCCTTCAATACTCTTGGATGTAGTTCATCTGGCCCAGGAGACTTGACCTCATTTAGAGTATCCAGGTATTCCTGGACTACTTCTTTACTTATTTTGGATTGCACTTCCTTTATTACCTCATCTGCTCTGTATTGTTCAGGTTGAAACCAGTCTCCTTTTGGGAGAAGATTGAGGCAAAGAAGGTATTGAGCAGTTCTGCCATTTTCCTATCCCTAGTTAGCATTTTAGCACCTTCTCCACACAGGCTCCACTGTTTCCTTTTTCTTTCTTTTTCTACTGACATAACCAAAGAACCCCTTTTTATTGGTTTTAACCTCTCTGGCAAGCAGAGTTCATTTTGTGCCTTAGTCCTATGAACCTTTTCCCTGCATATGTTGGTTAATTGTTTGAATTCCTCTTTGGTGATTTGAACAATATATATATATGGTTACAGTGAATTCCAATTAGATTTTACAAATTGAATTCTCTGAGGAAAACTTTTATACACCACCCGGAGTCCCCTCAGGGAGATAGGGAAGGATAAAAATAAAGTTTTATTATTTATTTATTATACATATTCCAGGTTAATGAATATGCCAGACACCTGTCTGTTGGTAATAAAATTATTGAGATCGCCTTGATCTTTGCTGAATGAAGGCTGCTTGTGTAGTTTTATCAGAACACTTGCTTGAACTGTGAATCTATTTGTAATGAGTAAGCTGTAGAAATAAATCTACTTTGCCATAGGGCTTTGTGAAAAACAAATGCCAGAATGCTACTTGGAGAAACCTCCTCTGATCCAGAAAATACAATTCAGGTAGTTTTATTATGCACTTAGCATATCTATATATATAAATTTGTTAGGGGCATCCAATGGAGAAACAAAACTCAAAAACCCCCCAACGAAACTTAACCAAAATTCCCATGCCCATAACACAACCCACAAGGTACAAGCATATCTACTCAAAATGAAAAACAACACAACAACACACTCACAAAACGGCAAAACAACAAAACTCAAAAAAACCCTAACGAAACTTAACCAAAATTCCCATGCCCATAACACAACCAACAAGGTACAAACATATCTACTCAAAATGAAAAACAACACAACAACACACTCACAAAGGGCATCCAACGGAGAAACAAAACTCAAAAACCCCCCAACGAAACTTAACCAAAATTCCCATGCCCATAACACAACCCACAAGGTACAAAAATATCTACTCAAAATGAAAAACAACACAACAACACACTCACAAAACGGCAAAACAACAAAACTCAAATAATCCCCCAACGAAACTTAACCAAAATTCCCATGCCCATAACACAACCCACAAGGTACAAACATATCTACTCAAAATGAAAAACAACACAACAACACACTCACAAAACGGCAAAACAACTGAGCATGCGCATTGGCGCCCAGCCGCAAGTTCCCTGGCGCGCGCACATGGCCTTCCGGCCAACGTTCCCTCTGCGGAAACCATGCCCACTCCAAGCCCCGCCGCGCCGCTTCCCGCACACACACACCCCCTGCCACACACACACACACAACCCCACTCCATCACTCCCCCCGCCGCCGCACACACACACGCAACCCCACTCCCCCGCCGCCGCACACACACACGCAACCCCACACTCCATCACTCCCCCCGCTGCCGCACGCACACACACAACCCCACTCCCCCCTGCCGCACACACACACGCAACCCCACGCTCCATACCCCCCGCCGCCGCACACACACACACAACCCCACGCTCCATCACTCCCCCCGCCGCCGCACACACACACGCAACCCCATGCTCCATCCCTCCCCCGCCCCAATCTTACCTCCTTTTACTTCACGCCACCTCCAAACCCCACCCCGCCCCTTCCTGCCCTGTCAAAATCTAGGAAAGACAGGAAGGAAGGAAAGAAGGAAGAAAGAGAAAGGGAGGTAAAGAAAAAGGGGGAAGGAAGGAAAGTTAGAGAAAGAAGGAAGAAAAGAAGAAAAGGAAAGATGGAAGAAAGAAAAGAGAGACAGCAAAAAGAAAGAAAAAGGGGGAAGGAAAGGAAAGAGATAGAGGAAAGAAGAGGAGAAGGAAAGATGGGGAGGGAAGGAAGGAAGAAGAGGGAAAGAAGGAGAGAAAGAGGGAATTGGCCACAGCAACACGTGGCGAGTAAAGGTTGTTATTTCTATTATTTATTATTATTATTGTTGTTATCTCTATTATTATTATTATTATGCTATTATTCCTATTAGACCCTGGGGGAATGGGAGAGGTGTCAGGTCCCAGAGGCAATGCATTGCATTATTGTTATTGTTATGATGGTGGTGAAATAAAAGGAAATAAAAAGTGAAAGAAGGAACAAACAGGGAGGGAAGAAAGGCAAAGGAAGAAAGGGGAGGGAATGAAGGAAAGAGAGAAGGATGAAACCAAGTAGTGAAAGAAAGAAAGAAGGTAGAGAAGGAAGAAAGGAGAGAAAAGGGGAGGAAAAGGGGGAAGGAATAGGTAGGGACCTCTCTTTCATAATAGTCCAGATATCTACCTCAACTTTGATAAGTTTTACTATAGGCCACAGCAACGCGTGGCAGGGCACAGCTAGTTATGTATATTAGTATATTAGGGCTCCACAGCCAGGTTACCACTCTTGGAAGACCATCATCCTTGGAGTACGAGGGATCGCCTAAGTAAAGTAATATTATGTGAAATTCTTCATCAGCTAGTTGCTTTAGCAGCATTGTATATACAGAGGGGATGTTCCCCATAAATAGTTTGTCCAACAAGCCAAGACATACAAGGTAGCATGAAAGGAATCTGGAGTGCATGAAGGACACAAAATAATGGTTGCTTCCCCAACCTGTGCCACATAAGTGGAAGTGACAGTCCACATCTCAAAGGCAAGGACAGACTTGCTCAGCATTTTTAAGACTACAAGGTTGCATTGTTATATAGTAGAAGCAGAGAAACTATTTGTGCAGTATATAGTAACATGCATCCATTTAAATGAAGCAGAGTATGCATTTTTATTCAGTTACATCTTGTAAGTGCATAAATAGTGGTTCCCAACCATTTTTGACCAGGGACTGTTTGAACAGGGACCACTCTCCATCATTAGTACTAAAAGGGTTGTGAATCAGGTTTTGGTCAACTTTAGATTTGGTTTGGTTATTTGGAGTGTTGATTCAGAAAATTGCATTGGATAGACCACATCAGCTCTAGTTTCTGATACAGAACATATGCCATCCAGTAGTCGCCATCTGCTCACCCACAGAAAACCATATTTAATCATCTAGAGCTGATGTGGTAGTAGTAATCTTTCGTGAATAGTCAGCCTCTCCCCTCCCGACATCCCCATTGCCTCGGCACTAAGAGGGTTTTGCAAAACCAGTCGCTTTCAGTCCCGTGTGGTTTTGAGGCAACAGTGTAGTAATGGTGAGGCCGTGGACCACTTTAGGATAAATAGAATAGTTTTAGTAATATTTAAAGTTGGGAACGCATTAAGACTGGTAGAGCTGACTGTTAGATGAAGTACATAATCATTCAGTTTGAATATGTGAATGTTTTTTCAGAAAGAAGTTTCAGGTTTCTACCCCCAGTATCAACATTACTTTGAGCTTGATGAAAATGGCAAAAAACAGTGTCCTACTTTAGTGGTGACTGAAATGTTGCTCTCATTTGCACATATTTTTGTCCATTTTTTTTACAGAAACATGATCAGGGTCAAGTTCTATTAGATGTAGTTTTCAGGCATCTTGATCTGACCGAGAGAGACTATTTTGGTTTACAATTGGCTGATGATTCTACTGAGAACCCGGTAAGTTATAGCTATATTTTAAGCAAAATCTTCATCTTTGCTGTGTGTGTGTTTTTTCTTTTTTTAAGTTTAAGGCCTGGTTTTGCAGAACAGGTCTGTATTTGATCTGTATTCCTGAGTTTCGTCATTCTGGTTTGCTTTTCATTTAATTTAATTATATTGAGAAGGCAGAACAAATGTCTTGTAAAAACAGTGTTATAAGGTTTGCCTACTGAGAATTTGTATACTTTATGTTCTTTTCTTGTTGTTTTATGAGTCCTTGGGCATATAGGAATTGGAAGTACATGTATCAAAATCAGTATTCTTGGTGATGAATGCTATATAAGAATTGAAGTGTTCATTCAAATTATAATAATCATTCATGCTGAGCTTCTCTTTTGAGTTATGGAATCCTGTGTATTTGCCTTCATTCAGTAGTGATGCAATCCTAAACATGTTCACAACCTCACTGGAAATTTAAGCCCTATTTGAGGCCTAACTTTATATTGTCAAGGAATATGACTGGAATTTTGTTGTGTGTATGCTTTTTTGTGCTCGTAATTCTTGGTTTTATTAGACGTGTTGTGTTTAATTGTTTCATTGTTTTCATGAGGGACAGTCCCCTTTAAAGAGATGCTTTTTTCAGTTTCCATCACCCAATTTGACAACCTTCATGTGGTAATTCTTTTGTACTGGGCTCAACAAGCATCCAGGAAATAAGTGATTATTCTTGAATTGGTTCCAATGAGTGAGATAATTTAACATTTTCCTGCCTATTTTAACATCTCATATATATATTGTATATATTTAGTTCTGTTGCCATGCTGAAAGTGTTCGGCAGACTCTTAGTAAACAAGAGGCATTTCACAGATCATTGAGCTATGCATATATTACAGATTGCAAAATGGAGTAGAAATAAAACTGTTGCTAAGTCTATTCAAGCCCCTTCCTCTCTTCTCCATTCCCATGGCCTTTCGTTTTATATAAGAATGGAGTAAACTGAGAATGTTGATGAGGAAGTTGAAAAAACAAGTACACAGAAGATCCCTTAGTGTTAATTTAGCCTGCTGTTCCTAGTGGATGAATCTGAGGGTCTTCATAGTAAGCAAAGCATTGTGACAGGTATTCGCTTGAGACTGTAAAATTTGGCACAAACTTTGGTAGATGTTTGCTTCATGAACAGTCATATTATCCAAAAATCGTGGAACTTGATACATAAATCATATGCTTCCTATGATTTTTTAAACAGTGAGCATCAAACCTATGAGGTGGTTTTGTTCTGGCCTTTGTGACATTTTTGGATCTTGTTGGCTTTTTAGTGTTCGAAGTCATGCTTCTACAGTTATGCTTCTCAATACTTTCAACAGAGATACATGTTTATTTCTCTAGATCTTTGTATATTCTGAAAATAAAAAAAAATGTCTCTCTTCTCCAAAGCGCCCTTTTATGATGGAAAGATTAATAACAACTTGAGACAATTTCTGAAATAAATATTTCGATTCCCTTTGAATTGCAAAATAATCTTATGCTTCTGATGATACCATGATCATTGATTTAATTAAAATGGAACCAAGATCAGTGTCACTATATATCATTTTCCGAAATGAAAAGATCTAATTTTAAGTTGTCAGCATAAGGCTGTATTTGAAACAGATTGAAGCTGTTTGAGTTTTATTCTCACAGTGATTATATTTGTGTTTAGATCTGGCAAAATGGATGTGTCAGTAAAATGTTTTAGGTACTTGTCCATCTCATGTACCCTGACAGTGTAAAATAAATGGTGGGGAGGGCATGGGGGCAGGAGTGGCCTAAATATCATCATCATCATCATCATCATTTTTTACTCACCTCTTCCCAGGAATCAAGGCAGGAGGAACAATAAGATATTAAAAGCATATTATAATACAATATATACCACACATACCACATGAACTGGTCAAACCATAAGTTTAAAAGAACATATACAGTCAATACATATTTAAAAATAAGTACATAATTTGAAATTTGTAATTTAAGATTTATAATTTAAAGTCAGCTGCCTAGGCTGGCCAGAAGAGATTGGTCTTTAATGATGTTTTAAATCCAAAATGGGCAGACCACCAATGAATACTAGATGCTGTAGGCTCTATTTCAGAGGAAGGAAGTAGCAAAATCATCTCCTTACCTATAAAAACTCTGATGAAATCCACGAAGTTGACATCGACTTATTTCATAATAGTCACTATTTGTAGTAATGCATTAACTCAGTGAATGTATACTGCTGAAATAGTGGTTGTAATAAGTAACAATTGTTAATTCTGCAAAAATCTGGTAAATATTTTAATCTTATTTAATTATTTGAAAAGCACTTAGTGATGAGTTGTACCAGAAAAAATTAATTAATATGTCATAGTATACAAGCGTTAAATTTGAATTGTTTCCCTAGTTTTAAATAAAGATTGCTGGTAGCTCTCTAAATGAGCTAAAGTTAAGAGAATATGTCTCGTGAAATTTTGAATGTTTTAAAAAGCATTGCATTAACAATGACAACATTTATATAAAATTATAAACATCTTGTTTCTCTTACAAGAAAAAATACTGTTTGTTTCATTCATTTATTTTGTTTGTAAAAAAAGTCAAATTATTCATCAGTGGGGCTCAAATTACACATTGCACTTAAATGAAAAGGTGAAGATCAATATGTGTGCCTCTAGTAAACTGCAGCTCTTGGATGTAGGCCATCATACTCTGACAGCATTGCTGACAATGTACTTGATGCTTTAAAGTGAATGAACAGCTGTCTAATGTTCAAGTTAGGTTGATGTTGGGTCAAGTGGATAAGGGTAAAACCAGAAGATTAGGGCAGGGGAAGTTAGGAGAAACAGACCTGATTTGCTGCATTTGATAGTTTTTCTCATTTGTGGAATATGCTAAATTTACTACAATTGCCAACAATTTCTGTTTAGACGTGATCTCATTTACATTTTGATTTTTCACAGTATTCTATAATGCCGCTTTCTAGAACTGCCAGAGAAATTAAAAGGGAGCTAGATTTTCAAATTGCATGGTTGGCCAAAAGGGCTGTGAAAATGTTCACTAGGACAATGTTAGAAGCCAGGTACAGATACCAGCCTGCAGGGAAAGTCATGCTAGTAATTTCTCCACATTTTGTAGGCCAAAATGGGTTATTTGGAGATACTTCTCAAGATGGTGGGCAGTTCTTATAAGTTCATCTTATTTACAGGTACAATCTGCAGTTTTTTATTTATTAAACCATTTCTATCTTACCCTTTACCATAGCATTTCAAAATATTCTTGCACCTCATTTTAGTGTTCCAAAGCTCTTCATGTTGACCTGCTTTACAAAATTAAATAGTGAACATCCATCTGTTCTTGCATCTATAATCTCTTCTAACCTAAATATCATTTTACTCTGTGCGATAATTTGATTCATTTGTAAAGTGTCCCCTGTTGCTGATTAAACAGATTTTTTTTCACTGTGATGCACATATTTCAATTTTTAAATGTTTTTATTTATATTTTAAGAGACCAATTTTAATGCATAAGCTACAAACTAAGTTTGGTTCACTCTGTATTCTTCTCCTAATCCTGTAATTTTATAAATCAAAAGGAAAATCATTAATAACTTGTAAAATATCAAATATCTCAGATCACACCATTAAATAGCATGTTAGAATAACACATCTTTTAATAACGGAGTTGTTGCTAGAGGGGCAGTTGTTCTTTGTGGATTTTGTTTGGTTTTGCTCTGTTGGGATTTTTTTACAAGCATATTTATACTGAGTGTAGCAGCTTAGATAACAGATCCTTTGTTATGATAAAGCTTTCACCCCCCCCCCCCCCCGGGTAAAGTCTAAGGCTAGGAAATCAGTGGCCTAGAAAGTAATCCTTGAATGTTCCACATATGGTCAGTGATATATCCCTTGGCTCATAGTTTCAGACAGAGACAGAATTGGGCAAGTGTTGTTTCCTGAAGAAATTATGACTATTTTAAACAGGGTGTGTGTGGCCTTTTGATTTTCTAATATAATTGTGCACATCTGATGTCTAGCAACAGATCCCATCTGTTTTTTTTCCCATCCTGTTATCATTGCTCATCATCTGTGTCTCTATACACTCATGTATTAGCATTATCAAATGTTTGCAAAGCCTACATGTTTAGTAGTATAGTGTTTTAGATGCAGCTGAATCCAGAACCGAATAAAATTGATTTGTAAAGATTTAGAGCTCGGATTAACTGAAGGAGGGCTTCTTCAAAAACAGCCTGTATCTTAACCTTACCAGGCACGTTAAGAGTTTTTATAACATTTTTTGAATTGGAAATTAGATAGCATTGGATGCTGATTGAAAATTGATGGGTATTCAAGTGCTTTTAATTTTGCCACTGTGTGTTCCACATCCCCAGTAAGAGGGATTTTTAAGGCTTCTTTTTCCTGTATTTTGCTTTTATAACGATTGTCTGCAAAAATCTAAGAGAATAATTATCTTTTAGAAAGGCCCCCAAATTGTAAAGAAAAATATTGGTTAAAACTTTCTTTACTTGTTTATCTGCAGTGGAGCATACGTGATCCCATCAGGAGAAATCTGTGGCTTTCATCCTATTACGAAAATTAATTTAAAAAATTGAACAATATTTTTTTTAAAATATGTATAAGAAAAATCACAGGTGGATAGTACAAACAGTGTATTTATTAGGCACAATCTCACAGGGAGAAAAAATATAGCTGTTAATTTTCAATTCTACTCATTGGGAGGCACAATGATTGTGTCCTGTGGTGTTGTACAAAGACCTAAGTCAAATTGAATGTCTTCTAAAATACTCTGAATTAAATCAACTGACAAATAAGGGTACAAACAGAATCATATGTATCTCTGATTTTTCAGAATGAATGTTGACCTTTTATATCACATATGTCAATTGACATAACTGCAGCCAGATTGTTAACTGGGGTTAGCTACAAGAATCACTCAGCTCCCTCCTTGCAACAATTCCATCGTATCTCACTGCACAAATTTGCCTGGCTCAGAGATCAAGAGATGCTTTTCTCTCAGTTACACCATTATCACAAGAGAAGGCCTTCTCAGTGGGTGCCCCAAGGATCTGGAACTCCCTTTCCAGGGAGACCAGAATTGACCCCCCCCTCCTTATTGTCCTTCCAGTGGCAGGCTAAAACCGATTTATTCTGGTATGCTTTTAAAACACAAGTTTTAAAGAATGGGCAAGAGATGCATGATATTAGCTAATTATTAACAACTTTTTATGTATTTATTTTAATATTTTAACTATTGTTTTAATAGTTATGACACGTGTAATTTTGTTTTAATATTTTTGTATTTTTTTAATTGTATAGTTTTAAAGTTATGAGCAACTTTGGTTCTCAGTCCTGAGAAAAGTTGGGTACAAGTAATAATATTAACAGCACCGTATAGATTGAATATTTAAAAAAAATTCTAGAAAATGCTGCTCAGTTTTTCTTTGTTACATTATGTGTGTCTCCAATGGAAGCAGTTCCGAAATAAAAGTGTATTTGACTTACTGTCAAATCAAACTTTGTCCTGAAAAACAGATGTTTGATATGGGGAAAATGAACTGTACTTGGAGTATAAAGTACTTGTTTGATAAATATAACTTCACATTCAAAGTAGTGTGCTTCGTTTCAGCAGCTAGAGTGTAATTGCTATTTTATATGACAGTGTAACAGTGCTCCTTAAGTTCTCTGATGTGGGGAACTGGTAATATTTTTTCCTCAGTGGGCCAGATTTGTGCCAGTTCAGTCCAATTCTTTCTTTTGTTCCTGGGAACTCTGCAAATTGGCATCCAATGGTTTGGAGACTGGTCACATTTTAAGGACCACCACTGTGGGGAGCACTAATGTAACAGACTGATTTTAAGCAGAAATCAGTGGAAGATCTGTGTGTACTAGTCAAATCCCATAATTTTTGCATGTTCTTTGAGACAATTGAAGAATAAATACAAAACCAAATGCGAAATGATCATGATAGTTCTTCAGGAGGTGATTTGCTCTTTTTTTTGGGTCTTTTTATGGAGTTTGAAAAAATACAGTTGGAAAATAACCACGAATATAGGCATTAAAATAGTATTGACTTTCTCAGGGTATCAATAAGTACTGGATTCTGCATAATCTTATTTGTCTCAGCAAGAAAAATTAAGCCCAGTTGCTTGCATTTACTGCCCTTAGCTTTCAACTTAGTGAGGTATGCCATATGTAATAACAATTCCACTAATGGTGTTGTTAGGTTGATCAGGATTGTATAATTGCCACATTACAGTTTGAGTTCAGTGGCAGGGAAAACGGACTGGTTAAGTAATCTATAGTTAGTTTGGAGTTGTCCTATGTTATGTTTATTCTGTATTCAGTGGCTGTTATAAGCTATATAGAACAGCAGGAAGTAAGTTTTTACAAAGCAATCATTTAGCACTCTGTTCAAATCTATGAATGCATTTACATTGCAGAATTAATGCAGTTTGATACCACTAACTTCTATGGATTAATGCTGTGGAATGATCAGAGTTGTAGTTTTGTAAAGTTTTTAGCCTTCTTTGCCAAAGAGTGCTACAACTCGCATGATCCACAGCATTATGGCAGGAAGGAGAAGGAGGAGGAGAAGAAGAAGAAATAATAATATTTATTTTCTACCCTGCCTCCATCTCCCCGAAGGGACTCAGGCCGGCTTACATGGGGCCAAGCCCAAGGTAGAATACAATTAAAAACAAAGCAGTAACAATTAAGATAGCATAAAACAGCATAACAATAATAGCAAGCATCAACAGTAACTGCAGACTAATTTTGGCGGGGAGGGGAAGAAGACCACTATGCGAGCTGGTTAAAGGATAAGGTGGTTCAATAAAGTGGATAGCAGCATATAATAGCATAGGAAATATGAAAACAGAGCAAATTAACAGGATCAGAATCAATTCAGTTAATGTAATATAGGAAATCAGATTAAATGATGATTCAGGTCATGATACAGGCCGTTTGTCATAGGAGTCATCAATCAAAAGCACGACGAAACATCCACGTCTTAGGGTGCCAGCCTAATCTCTCTGGGGAGGGAGTTCCAGAGATGGGGGGGGGCACCACTGAGAATGCCCTCTCTCTTGTCCCCACCAACCGCACCTGAGACGGGGGCTAGAGCGAGAGAAAAGCATCCCCGGAAGATCTTAAGGACCATGTGGTCTCATAAGGGAGAAGGCGGTCGCACAGATAGGCAGGCCCTGAACTGTTTAGAACTTTATAGGTAATAATCTGCACCTTGAATTGGGACCAAAAACTTATCGGCAGCCAGTGGAGCTGTTTAAACAGGAGGGTTGACCACTCCCTTTAACTTGCTCCAGTTAACAATCTAGCCGCCGACCTTTGCACCAGCTGTAGTTTCTGAACTGTCTTCAAGGGCAACCCTATGTAGAGTGCATTACAATACTCTAATCTTGAGGCAACTAAGGCGTGGACCACCATGGCCAAGTCAGACTTCTCAATGTATGGTCGCAGCTGGTGCACAAGTTTTAACTGTGCAAAAGCTCTCCCGGCCACCACTGACACCTGAGCATCAAGCATCAGCGCTGAGTCCAGGAGGACTCCCAGACTGCGGACCTGTGTCTTCAGGGGAAGTGTAACCCCGTCAAACACAGGTTGCCACCCTATACCCCGTTCGGCCAAGCGACTGACCTGGAGGACCTCTGTCTTGTCAGGATTCAATTTCAACCTATTGGCCCTCATTGTCGCACACCAAGGCTAAAAGCACACCTTTGAACCCACAAACACTCCACAGTTCTTTAGCGAATAAATAAATAAATGCAAACAATATAAAAAAGGTGAAAAGGGCAAGTAAGAAAATCTAAAAACAATCCAAGCAATCCAAACCGGCAGGTAGGCAAATATAATCCATCAAAGGAAACAGAGACGATTCTTAAATCCACAGTAAAATCCACGAGTGTATAGTCCTTAAAACCCACAGAGGAAAATGTCCAAAGTCTCTTGAAAAGCCAAGGAACAAGGTTGCACAGATTCAAAATCCACAGAAAAATTACACAGGAATACTTTCACCAACAGCAACGTGAACATGAGTCTTGAGCAGATATTTCCATGAATCTTGACATGACATACATACAAGACTTGACCAGTAACCAACGTTGCACTCACTGAAGGCAATGCTGTAAAAGCCCTATATTTATTCAAAAAGACCTACACAGAATGCATTCTGATTCCCTTGAGAAATCTCCTGCAAATTCCTCTTTTCCCTTATCCTGACAGACCTTCAGACTCCCCCTTGCCAAGTGGTGATCTGGACAGATTTGACCCCTTCCATCAAAGGTTGATTCCTCCCGGTTGCTCGTTAACACATTCCTTTCACTTTCCTTATCTAGCAACCCAGGCTGGTTCCCATCAGACTCTTTGGAAACCATTCTATCTTGAGAACTAACTATCTCAGAGTCTTCCAACTCCCTTTGCTCTGCTGTTTGTTCTGTGCCCTCATTCACAATCCCCTGAGAATCTACATTAAAATCCAACATGGAAATCTCTGAAGGGTCCTGCTCTGAAGGAAATTGACGAATCAAGAGACCTTTTTTTCAAAAGCGGCCTCACGACTGCCTGTTTTAGGCATGATGGAATTTGCCCTTGCTCCAATGAAGCATTTATTATCTTTGACAACCAATCGGCCAGCCCTTCTCCGGCAAGTTTTATAAGCCACAACAGGCAAGGGTCTAGTGCGCATGTAGTCGCCCTCACCACTCCAAGGATGTCAAACTGTTTGAATTGTGCAGTGTAGATGCACCCTCTGCTTTCCAGAGCAAAGACAAGTATTTGGTGTTGTCTAGCTATCAAGGAAGAATGTGTAGTAAGTGATTTGGTCCCATAAATCCCGCAAAAAACTACGCTTATTTTGTCTTGTTGAGAAGTACCGCAATAATAATATTTGTTGGTTGGAGAGTACACATAATGATGTTTTCCTTTCTTTCCAGAGGTGGCTGGATCCAAACAAGCCTATCAGGAAACAATTGAAGAGTAAGCAAAAATGTTTTTATTTACAATTAATAGAAATACTTACACATTTTTATTTTTCTTATATAGTGTACTAATAATGAAGTATTTTGGTTGATTTTAGGAGGATCGCCTCACAGTTTGAACTTCAGAGTCAAATTTTTTGTAAGCGATCCTAATAAACTTCAAGAAGAATACACACGGTATCAGTTTCTCTCTTATTTTAATATATCAGCTTGATGTTTTTATTATGTTGTTGATACGGTATAGATATGTCTTAATTAGTGAGTGTAGTGTGTTTCTGTGCTTTACTTTTTTTGTAGAAATGTTGGTTTAGTGTGTTTCTGTGCTTTACTTTTTTTTGTAGAAATGTTGGTTTTTGAGACAGAAATAACATGAGAGAATAGAGATAGCCCTGCTTTAATAGCAGTAAGTAAGGCAGCAGGAGAGAAACAAGTTTAAACTGGGCAGTATAATGGAAGAATCCAATTGGATTTCAGTACTAATGCCTGAGCATCTCAGGGATCATTTACTATGTGGAATGAATTTAGTTTGACACCACTTTAGCTGTCATGGCTCAGTGCTATGGATTCATAGGACTTGTGGATCACAAAGTCTTTAGCCTTCTCTGCTGAAGAGTGATGGCATCTCCCCATACTGCAAATCCCAGGATTCCACACCATTGAGCCATGGCAGTTAAAGTGGTGTTAAACTGCATTAATTCTACAATATAGATATTCCCTCAGATAGAAAAGAAAGGTCCACCAAGTTTTGCAATCAAATGTTCAAGCCTATGTGTAATAAACATTCAAGCCTCTGACTTGCCCTCAAAATGCAAGTTAAGTAAGTTAGGGTAAATTGACATGCCAAAAGATCTGCTTTGCTTCTTATACCCAAATACCTTGCTAATTAACGTTGTATTCTTTTCTTTGAGTTATGTTTTAAATCTTAGTAAAGATGTGTAGATAAAAGGTTGTTCTTAGTAAATATTTTCTTTTTCTTTTTGAATAAGTCAGAGTATTGGTTGTTTGTAAATCTGTTTTGCTGCTTTAACCTCAGTTGATTTCCCATTGCAAGAGTTTTTGCAATGTATGTTGTAAGTGGAATGTAGACAAGATCCAATTAATCTTCCTGTGTAGTTGAACACCCGCAGTGTTGCATTCATATCATCTGCTCCTGTGCCCCAGAAAAATCTCTTTCAGACGGAAATATCTTTCTGATCCATGAATATAAGTAGAAGAGTTTATATTCAGGAGAGTTTTTAAATAAATCTATGCAAATAACATAATACTATACTTACCATTAATATTTTTGGAAATTATAAATCATTTTATAGAAAATAAGAGTTATAATTTTTGAGATATGATTTGGCTGTTTCTCTGAGTATGCAATATAGAAGTTAAACTTCATACCATTGCTGATAAGTTTGATCAAGTAGGTGCAGTGGTTCTGTTATTCTAAGTCCAATTTCCATAAGAATATGTTGTATACATGTAAAATAATTCAGAATAATGCTGATGTTGGGCAACTGATTATATAGTGACTTGTTTTTTTCTATATAATTGGATACCATGCCACTAACATAGTGCCTGTTAAAAGGAAATATGTGGACTGGGCCTCAGTCCAATTATAGGGAAGGTGCTCTTGCACTCCTTTGATAAGGAACAATTTCACCTTTTTATCATTATGTAACAAAGCTGGGAGTACAAAGGCCACTTGGCAAGAAATGCTAAACGGTCCTTTCAAATCTCCCTTTGTACAGTAAAAATAACATTCCTTGTTGAGAAAACAATTTAAATGTAATTCATTCAATTTTACAGTTCCCACCTTCCATTACACTCCTCTCCATAAATAGCTATGCATGTAAAATAATAGATTATTATAATAGATTATGTTTCATGGATCACACAGTGGATTTTCTTTTTCAACCACATCAACAATATTAGTAAAATTGATTTTAATCTGTCAATCGGAATATAACTTCCCTACAATGAAAAATTACCAGCTTTTTTGGGAATGATGATCAGACTCAGATTCCCAAACTACAATTTCCTTAAATTAAAATGCCAGATTCTGCCCCTAACTTGCCCAGTGCTGTATACATGTATTTTCCTTCTCTTTATTTTATCAACAGTTACAGCCAACTGTCTTTTGTAGGATGCCTTCTTTAGTAGTCCTCTAATTCTTGGTGAAAATTTCAAACCATTTGAAAATTTTAGGTGAACCTCAGTATGATTGTTTCAGTAAATCATTAGTCAAAAGTTTTTAGAAGTGCCTTTTAAATTCAAATGTATCTGCATGACAGTGTTGCCATGTATTTTGAAGAGTATATTTCATCACATTATTCTTTGCATTATTATATTTCAGTTGTCCATGTTGATTTTGCATGCAGAAATATTAATAATAATTATAAAACTTTGGGCTTAGGATATCCTAAAGCAGTGTTCATTTGAGAAATGCATACTATTGGTGTGGGTGGTAGAACATGACTTATAAACATACTTATGAATAGCATCTTCAGATGAGGATTAAAAATTAGAGGAGTTTAATGTGAGTTACTGAAAGTCTTAAAGTAGATATGATCCTTTGCCACATATTTTCAGTCAAAGAGTATTATCTAAGTGAGAACTCAGCAGGACCCATCAAGAATACTGATGTAGGCAGTCCCAGGTTACAAACAAAAAAGGTTCTGTGGGTTTGTTCTTCAGTTGAATTTTGCATGTAAGTCGGAACAGACACATGCTTAAGTCTAACTCCATCTAAACCAGTGGTTCTCAACCTGGGGCCCCAGATGTTTTTGGCCTTCAACTCCCAGAAATCCTAACAGGTGGTAAACTGGCTGGGATTTCTGGGAGTTGTAGGCCAAAAACATCTGGGGACCCCAGGTTGGGAACCACTGATCTCTCTCTCTCTCTCTCTCTCTCTCTCTCTCTCTCTCTCTCTCTCGCTATATATATATATATATATATATATATATATATATATATATATATATCACCCCCATTCTTAACTATGAGTCGTTTGTAAATCAGAAGTCTGTAACTTGGAGACTGTCTGTATTGTATTCCTTGGCCTTATTTATTACCAGAGACTTTTAACACACTATACCATTTCCTAAACGAATCAGTACACAAGATGACGTTTACTTGGTATATTAAGTTAGAGATGTTGGTTTGGATTTACAGAACTACATGTACAACAAGGCTACAGTAATTATTACCATTTAGGGTAAGGAATATTTTAGATCCATGTATTTGATCCATGAAAGAATATGCTTCACTCTGATGAATCTGTTGTGGGTAAATAGTCATAACTAGCATATTAATATAAAAACCAAAAATGCATCATTTACTAGTAAAATAGAAGAAAAACAGCCTAGCTTATGGACAATTATAGTTAAGCATGTCACCTACTCATCTTTAATTTATAGTTTAATTAGAGGCTTAACTTGTCTTAGAGTAAAAGCAAATATGTGTAAAAACACAGAAGTCAAAAATACAGCAAAGTGGTACAAAGATTTCATTCCATTAGGTTAAGGCATTTCATATTTCATTGGGGACTTCAGATCGCTGCAAGAAGCCAGTTAAGGATCTAAAAATTCTTGAGTTTGTTTGGGAATTTAACACCTCTTTGTTCCTTCATGCATACAGTACCCGAGGTACCTGAGAACGTGAACGCCCTAGATTTAATTAACATACTACTGAAAAGCTTATCCGATTGGAGCCAAATTTGTATAGGTTATTAGTACTGAGGTTAATATCTTTGGGGATAGGTCACTTAGTATATTTGTATCTTTCTAAAACAATATAAACAATGTAGTGGTGAACTCAAAACAGATGTTACTTTAGGCACAGCCAAGGGTTTAAAATTGAAAAATATATATTTTTAGATAATTCATGATTCCTACAGTCACATTTGTCTACATTTCAAAATATCATGCAGAAACAATTGATATCACATTGATTTGGTGAATTAATTTGCTGCAAGGTTTACCTTAGTGTACAAGTAAAACCAGTAGCCATATGCTACTGATATTTCATTACCGACATAAATAGCAAAAACAACTTTTGAAAAAAGTAACAAAATACTGATTGCTTATATTACAAGAACTTCAAACTTGGTTTAATTGCTGTGTCTTGCCTGTCTAAAATAATGATACATGATGAAATACAGCTATCATTAAGTCAAAAAGTTATCTTCATTTTGTTAATAAAAATGTAATGGTAATTTTGTGAACTCATGCTTACTCTTTCTTTAAGGTACCAATATTTTTTGCAAATTAAACAAGACATTCTAACTGGAAGGTAAGAATTATTTCCCATGTAGATAATTGTAAAGATATTAAATGATTCAGACCCTTATGTGAACAGTGAGGTGGAAACTTCTAGTTTGACATTGTGATAGCAAAATATATGTAAAAACTGATTTGATGAATTGGGAAACTTAAAGTTTGCTATTGTTACATTTGCATTCCTGGAGCCTCATATCCAGTACTTGAGGTTCTTCGTGCAATTCTGATTGTAAATCAGGAATCCTGCCTCCTCACAGGTTTGATCAGTCAGCCTGTTTGTGAATATATATGAATTCAATATGTGGATATATTTGAGTCCCTACACCTGCTTCTCCATCAGGAAAAAGCCAACTTGATTTTGAACTCCCATCCTTTTTGACAGGTCACTGAAATCAAAATAAAATATGCCCACTGTGAGTTTATACCCCATTCTGTGCTATGCAAATCCTCCCTGCTAGCATGTCTATAAAACAAACCAGAAAGGATTTGTTTACTGTGTCATCCAAAGTGTGGGGTCCTAGCTTTTCTCAAAATCACAAGCTGAATGAATGACATGGTACAACAAATCCTTCTTCACATATTCTATTTTTTGTTTATTAGTTAATGTATTTACATACAGTCCTGTACCCTACAATCCAAGGACAACATAAACTGATGCCAGTTTAGCCAGTTTGAAGAGAATTAAACACTATGAATTTAAACAAGTGAAAAACATATTAAATATTTTGACTTGTTAAAACAAGGCTAGAAAAATTAGTCCTTCAAAGCCATGAAGCATATGCAGATGTGGATAGCATCGTTTGGTAAAGAATCATACTTTTGTATGGCAGTGGAGTGACACCAGAGTAGGATCTAATCTTGGGTCATCACAGCTCTGAAGGCCCTCTCCTATGTCTTCTAAGTGGTGAAATATAGAGGGGACCCCCCCCCTCAATTGAAGAGCTCAGTCTTCAGGCAAGCATATGTTTTCAAGTCATGCTGTCTGGAAAGAGCAAAACAGCCGTGAACAAAATGTATGAATTAGCATGTAGCTTGTTAAAGAAAGGCCAAGATATTGTGTAGGTCTTTTTTTATTCTGTACAAATACTTGTTGGTTGTTGCCAAAATGTGTATATTTAAACATTCAGAAAGCAATTAAAAGTTGTGGTTGTTGTTGTTTTTTTTACAACAGGCCTATATGTAAAAATGCAAACATTTTTAAAGATTACCAGCTTTACATATTTGGCTGCTTTAAAATGTTTTAATTGTTTATTCAGAATTCTAAGAAATTTAAAAACTATGTGTTGTTAAACATTACTTTTTAAGTATATATGTGTACTTTGTGTTCATAGGTTGTCCTGCCCTTATAATACTGCTGCACTCTTGGCTTCCTATGCTGTTCAGTGTAAGTAAATCATTTTAATAGTTCGGATTTTTAATAAAAATGTTCTTAATGTCTGCTACCATTTTTGCCTGCTCCTATGGTGTTCCCAACTTTGTGTTGTTCAATCTTAGGCAAATATATTATGTAAAACTGATAATTTTATAAAAAGCATTTTAGTCAGTTAATCTTTCATTTTTGTATGTTTCTCTTTGCTTGCACAAGGCCCCTCAAAAGAGCAGGTGTTTTAGAAACTTTCCAGGCTGTCAGTGTACTTTCCATCCTTCTAGCAATAGTTGCTAGAAAAGTAGGAGGAAATCCCCCCCCCTTTTTTTTCCCATTCTCTCTGGGTTAGACGACCAATGGAGGATTGTGGCTTGTTTCCAGGGCACCCACCCTTCCACTGATGGCCACCTTTGTCAGACACTAGACATAAGATAGCCCCATTTCCCAAAAGGCAGAAACAGGCAGCTGGTAGCAAAACATTGGGTTCTGAAATACTTCAGATATCATATTTCTGGATAAGGGAGACTCACCTGCAATGTGCAGGAGAGATTTGAAGTATCTAAGCTAGGATAATAGCAGTTGAGAACTCTGATAATACCCGAGTTACCATTTTTAAAACTACATACACCCACATATCCCTTCTCTATCAATGTCATGTGTTTACATTGTTTCACTTTTTCAAAACATTTTCCTTTCCTTCTTTTTTTTCTCCCCTGGTTTTTTTTCTCCTTGGTCACAATTTTAAAAACTTTTTAGGGTTCTTTAGCCTACTTTCTTTCACTGATTCTGAGGCAGAAGCCTGTACTTTATTGTTAACTATATCAATTGGAATTAAAATAGTCATATAATATTGTATTTTCTATTAGTTCTTCCACTGTGGCCTTTTCTTTGTTTCTTTTCATCTGTTGATTGATTGAGCTATAGAAATAAATACATGTTGCCAGGATTATTAGTCATCAAAACAAACCTGGCTGATTCTATAAGAATTGTCTGAATTTTCCATTACATTTGTTTGCAGTACTTTGCATATTTAGATTAATCTCAATTGAATTATTACTACTATGGGATGCTACACTGTTTCTATCAAATCAACAGTTTCTTCAACTGTTGCTGCAGACTGACAGTTTAGCAAACTCTTGGAGCTGTTTGACCCTTTTTTTGTTCTCATTCAAAAGAAAACTAAACATGAACATGTACTTTGCTTTTAAAAGTAATTTATATTTTTACCTTTGAGCATTTTGTGGGAGCTTTAGTGTGAGATCCTTCCTTGTTTTGCCAAACTATATTTGTACAGCTGAAATTGGCAAAGATTTCCAGTGTTTAGCAAGAATTTGCATGTAACTATCTGAAAACTGGGAAGCTACTATGTTCTCTTTCTCAACATGGTGTGTGTATATGTCTTCAAGTCACCTATCAACTTATGGTGACCTCATGACTTTCATAGGGTTTTCTTAGCTAAGGAGTACTCGGATATTGTCTTACCAGATTCTTCCACTGAAATACAGCCTGCAGCACCTGGTATTTTTTGTGTTCTCCTAACCAAATACTAACCAGGGCTGACTTTTTAAACTTCAAAGATGAAATCTGGTGTTCTTTGGGTATGTAGGCTATACTCAGCATTGTATTCAACGTAACTTATTTGATGTGAAGAATATGTTTCCTCACATTTTAAAGAGTTGTCAATATCAAACAAATAAGGTATCTAATTAGAGGTAAATCACTTGCATTTCAGTCTAAAAATTAACTTTAAAATGGAATCAGGAGCACTGTTCTTACTGCTCAAGATTTCTATGACATGTTCTGTAGAGCAGGCAAATGGCTTTGTAACTCCAGGTTATCCCTTTGAGAGTGAGAGTTACCATACTTCAGAGAAAGCTCCATTTGTGTACATGGTGTATTTGTACATAGATAACTACTATGGATTGCAGACCTGCAAAAATATCTGACATAGATTTGCTTAAGTGACTTGAAACCTTAATGCGAGAGAATATCCAAGGTCCAAAATAAGACAATATAGTTGAAGTCACTAAAATACAGGACATTGATGTTATAATTTTATATAAACATTTGTGGTGATGGAAATCAGTAGGGAGTTGATTTCAACTAACTTAGAATGTCTCTTGAATTATGTATTCTTGCATCCTTATGGTGGTATTCATCAATAGACTTCCATCAGCAAAATTTCAGAATCCAACAGAACAGGGAATTGATTTCTGCTCCACTCTTGTGTATACCTCTAAAACTGTTTATAAAGACTGAGAAATCCATTCAAGCTATTTTTTTCTGACCTTCCAAAGGGACGGAGAGGAAAAGAGAAGGAGAAGTACATTCCTAAAATCTGCCTGTAGGACGTTGAATTTAGACTTACATTTCTAGAAACAGTTCAAACCATTATTAAGTAATTATGTACAGTTGTAAAAACATTTGAGGGAATAAATGTTTTGATATTTTGTTTCAGATATTTGCAAAGTGTTGAAATGTGGCTGTTGTTAAATAGCTTCTTTAACTTTTAGCTGAGCTGGGAGACTACAATTTTTCAGAGAACTTCCCAGACTACCTCTCAGACTACACTTTCATCCCCGGTCAACCTCAAGACTTTGAAAAAGAAGTATCCAAACTACATCAGCAGCATATGTAAGCATTGCATTCAAAAGAACTGCATGACTAATTCCATGTTCACAAATTGAAAGTAGCTATCCAAACAACTTACTGCAAATAAATAACCCACTTAAGAGTTTACAGGTATTTGACTCAGGGAGACGGTGAGTGGAAGAACACTAATATTGGTTAGGGATTAATGTCCTGACATATAGCTCTTGCTGTTAATGAAATTCATGAAAGTACAGTAAACTTTAGTGATCACATTTTACAACAATGAAATTACTTGCAGTGTACCTTGAGTTTTCAGATCTACCTAGAGCAAGTCTTTTTTATGGAAAGGCTGATTGGATAGCCAAAATAAAACTTTAATCAATTGTTGTCATTTCCCAATTCCATGTATTTGTGTGGAAAGCATAAAGATTTAGACTATGTTATAAGTATTTTGAATGATTTCATGTTCTGCCATTTTAAAAATCTTTTTAGAGGTTTATCTCCAGCTGAATCAGAATTTAGTTATCTCAGCACAGCTCGAACCTTAGAACTCTATGGAGTTGAGTTGCACTATGCACGGGTAAGTATGAATGGATCATTCATAGCTTCCAAAATATTTGTAGTATTGTCCAAAATATTTGTAGTATTTGTAGTATTGACCTATGAACTTTGTGTCCAGGAATTTTTTTTTCTTAGCTAAATGAGTGAATTTCAGTTAGCAATTCATTAATTTTTTTATTTTCATTTTACTAATTAGTACAGTACAGGATATTTTTATGCTGCACTGTATTAATGAGTGAAATGAAAATAAAATTTCAAGCTACCTGTTTTCCATAAATAATGTCATTGGAAAACAATGTTCATTCTTTATTTTTATAGAAGGACATAATGTGACCTATAAAGCTGAAAACTTCTTTTAAAGATATTAAAAAGATTTTAAAATCCAGTTTAGTTTAGTAGAATAAGCCTATAAATCAAATAGAATGGACTCATTGAATCAGTCACTGAATTGTACATCGCTTATGCAAATCCAGAAGATCCAATATGTCTATTCTAAGTAGAACTCATAACTGAATTTAAGCCTTAATAAACGGATGTCCTCTAACTACTTCCTATGAGTGACTTGCTGTGACTTAGTTTTTAATATAGGTATTTTGTAGAATTTCATTTCAGTCAAGTTAATGAAATATCCAACTCTATTGGTATCTGAGATGCAGTAAATGCATCACATAGCTGGGATGAAAAGATGAGGTTTTTGCATACTCTGTGCACTATAAAAGGCAGACTTGATTTTCTCTGTTCTTCCACATTTTATTATTTGTTGATAAAGACTTTATGTAAACAAGACTTCAGCTTTTAAGTAGTTGGGAAAGGTGTACAACAATGTACTGTTTTAAATAATGATATGCCTTTAACTTTGTAAAGGGCTTTATTTGGATTGTGTAATGCATTTGTATTTTTTGTGTTATAGATTATTTTAGCGATTTATTTTAACCTATGGTATAAACAGTTTTGGGTCCTGTAGTGGGAGAAACATGGGATATGAATCAGCCAATCAGTTAATAAATGTATGTAAAATGTTGTGTTTGTGAATTTTGGTGCATGGTGGGATGCGTAGCAATCATCAGATTTTCCAGTAGAGTGGTAATTCAGTTAAGGTTTAAGAACGTTGCAAGTTCAACATTCATAGGAAATCAGAGGATGCAGAAACATTGATCTTTCCCCTCCTTTTTTGCAGGATCAAAGTAACAATGAAATTATGATTGGAGTAATGTCTGGAGGCATATTAATTTATAAGAATAGGGTACGAATTAACACCTTCCCATGGTAAGAATATTTATAAGAAAAATGGTTTGCATACTGCATACATATTTTGTACTGAATAGCATCATCAAAAAAGTAAACATCAGATCTAATCAGATACTTTAAAAGTGTATTTTTTCCATTACTGGAAATGGCATATACAATTTTCTGTCAAACTTTACAAATATACAACATAGCTCCTGTAGTATTATTATACAGAATTTTCAAAAGCTTAATCTATTATTAAATTAGATTAATGCTGTCCACTCTCTATATATTTATTTATTAAATATATATGTCCGTTAGTTCTGTGATTATAATGTTGTTGGAATAAAAATGAACAAATATATACATATAGATAGTTAGATCCAAAGAGTAACGTGCAGAAACCTGCACATGCAGCAGATCTTTCCCAGCCACCATTTCCTGTTGCAGCCCCCAGAGTTACTTCTGAATATCATTGGCTTTTCCTGAACCATAGCTGGGGGTGAAGGTAATTCAAAAGGCAAAAGCAGCAACCGTCCTTCAAAAAAGACCAGGCTCTGTGTATCTATTCATTTAATTGATAAAAATTACAACAGAGCAAACACTGCATATTTTAGATAGAACTCAAAATGGCACCAAGTTTGGAAGCAAAACTAGTCTGTGGCTTCATTGGTTAGGAAGTCAGCTAGGTCTTGGGAATTCTGTGTACTTTAGCAACTTTTAAATATACTCCAGTGTAATTACATTGGATCCCACAGTTGTGCAACTGATTGTATAACAGGCACTATAGTTTTGAGATCTCCCATTGTGCAATTGTCAAATAGCTTCCCACCCACCAGGTTGAAAATGTGCGAGAGGATTCTGTGTGCACCTGTGGAATAATTGACTGCAACAGAACAGCACCAGAGAAAGTGCAACTGCTTATGCAGTGATTTTATGCTAGAGCAGTTCCTCAACAGGATTCCCAGCATTGTTAGTCATGTTGTTTCCATCACATGGATCCAAAGGGCCATGTGAAAATATACTATATACATCGAGCAATTTCAGCCTAATTATTTTGGTGGCAACCCAAATCTCCATTGAATCAGTTGCTGAATTCCCCATCTGTTTGCATTTAAAGTTGTTCTAATCATTCAAAGATAGATTGATTACTTATTTTCTAAAATAAAATAACTCCAAAATTATCCAGAAAATGTAGCACCTTTGCTTTCTTATAGTTATGTATATACAAACATAGCTTCATGTACAAAATTATTAAAAAGTTGTGTGTAAAATTATTTTCAGACTACGTGTGTAAGGTGTATATGAAACATCAGTGCATTTTGTGATTAGGCCTGAGTCTCATTATGTATAAGTATGTATTGCAAAATACCAAAACGGTTCAGATATTAGGAACATGCTTGATCCCAAGCATTTTAGATAAAGGATGCTCAATCTGTATACTATAGAGATGATGTTATAATAAATGATTAAACACACCAGAAAAATTGAAATAAACACATGAGGTGTCAGAAAGATCCTTTCTACATTATTTGAAAGCCAAGGCACAACTGAATTTCTGTCTCTGGAAGCTTCCCCCCCCCTCCCCCCTCGCCTCACATCTCAGAGGATGAGGAGTATTCATTAGGATTTCAAAAAAAAAAAAGTTAGGCATACATGGAGATATAGATGATACTTCTGATATCCTGGTCCCAAATTGTAAAAGCTTTGTTAATTGGGTCTGGAAATGAACTTGTTATAGACTTTATATGCACAACTCTCTTGGTTTAGCTATATACGTTAGACTGATGTAGGTTGGTTTAGGGGATGATGACACTTTGCCTGTTCTGGATCTTAATAGGATTCAGAGTTTTGGAGATAGATTTAGATTTTAAGTCATGTGTTTCTTAAGCCTAGGTTGACATTATGTGTTTTAAAATACTAATAAGAAAAAAAAACAGTTCAGTACCTTCCGTTGAAATGCAGTGAATTTGGTAACTAAACTATCAATTGTTCCATTTTTGGCAGTAGGTAGGATAAGCCTGTTACCTGTTTATGCCTACTGCACAAGTATACTCTATCGCTTTGACAAGGGATTAAGCATGGCATGGTTCATGATCTCAGAAGGAAGTAAAAAGTTGGTTGTTAGGACTGTCAGAATTAAATATTAAGGCGATACCGGCTATTCAAAAGTAAGAGAAAGTGTATTTGAGAATGGACATGAGTCAGACAAAACTGGTTATTCCTTACTCTGTCTCCGCCAGTTTCAGTTCTGACATTTTTCTCATAGAGATTCAGAACTACAAAGAAGGAAAACCAGAGTTCCTCATCTGGAATTTTGGAAATCATTATTTGTCCTGCAGCCTGTTTCTAAAGCCCCAACTTTTATATGTGTGTCTTTATTGTGAGACTTTTAATATGCATTCATTGACTTTAATCCTAAACCTTAACAATTTAGTTTTATTATTAATTTTAGACTGATATGATAAGATGTGTGTTGATATATCGTGGTGAATGCACCTGATTTCGAATTCCTTATGGCTGGCATGTTGCAGACTTTTTTAATTGGGGGGGGGGGTGTCCAGAAGTATATACCCTTCAAAATCTTCCTTGCACAATATTTCCCGTGAACTAACATGGACTGAAAAGCACATGTCTGAAGTATTAAGCAGTACTAGCATACATCATTCCAGTTACACCCATGCAAGCAATTTCATTTGATAGAGTGGATCTGCAGATACGTTGCTGATGTAATATTGTTTATATGGCAGCCGTGCTGTGTTCATTTTACAAAATAACAACATAAGTCCTTGCACTGAAGAAAGAGACATAGGAAGAGAGATGAATGCATAAGTAAAGAGAACATAAAATGCATTCAGATTAGGTACACTGATACATTTGTACACATGAGACCTAAAGAGTTGGCTGCAGACTTTTTCTGAAATTGTAGATTTGAGGTTTAGAAAAAGAATTTTATTTAGTAGTATTTCAGGTGTTCTTTGGTTGTGGGAGGTAGTAGTATAATCCTGGGATATCTGGAGAAGAGTGGGCAATCTAGATTATGGTTATAAATAGCATTCTTCCGTACTTTTGATTCAAATCATGAATGCTGCAAGATTGTTTAGATAGAGGATGTTTATTTGTGAATTGGAAGCAAATGATGGTGTGTAGGGATGTAATAAGGAAATGAAAGAAAAAATAAATGTTTCCATCTTGGATTCTTCTAGCTGCATGGTTACTTTGATATTCCTGTTTTAGCATCCTGTATTAAATATTTGCAATTGTTACTTCTGCTGAAGTGATACTGCATTGACATTATTTTTCTTTTTATATACATCAGTGTCAGATTTCCAGCTTTATTTGTAGGCCATAATTACTTTTATTATACTTTATAAACATCAGTTTTTATATAGTATAATTCAGTTTGGAAGAGCTTGTTCCTTGTAAAATTCAGTCATTTTAATTGGTGTTGCAAATAGTACTAAATGTTTTTCATGTTGCTATTATGCACAGAACAATGTGGTAATACAGTTTCTCCTTGGGAGGTTGTAAAATTCTTCCAGATTAGATTGGTTTGGCCTACTTTTTAATCTAATGTTTATGCAAAGTGATACAAGGATTCCATGTTATTACATGTATAATGCGGTCTAATCCATTTCTCTCCCTGGCCACACATAAAGACTGAAGCAACTTCTGCTCTGACCAGGCATTTAACTCCTTGATAATACTCGCTGATAGTTAGTAACATAACTGCACTCCTGTCAAAAATCCTAGCAAACTTTGTTGAATTACACTTTATTTTCTTCAAGTTTAATAATGTTGATATAGGAAACTAGATCTATTTACATATCAGGCTTGGCTTCTTCCCTGCCAAGTAACTCTGAATTGATTCCTCGTTTAGAATTCTTGGTAGGGAGCAAAAGAGAAGGCTTAACCTCTTACTCTCCTCAGACAAGTTCAGATGCCTGCTTCTGTATTGCCATTAACATTGTGAAAAACAATACAGTTGTCCTCCCCTCCCATATCCAGGAATTCTGCATCAATGAATTCAACCAACCACAGCTTGAAAATACTATTTTTTTAATTCCGAAAAGCAAATCTTGATATTGCCACACACTGTGACTATGTTGATGTAGCCTGCAACCTTTTCACAGACCCTTAAGCACTCTCTGGTACTTGTTTGAATTATTCACAATTTTATGTAAGGGATAAAATTTTCTATGCCATTATATGTAATGGGACTTGAACACCTATGGATTTTGGCATCTATGGGGTGTGTGTGTATCATGGAACCAAACTCCAGTGGATATCAAGGACAGTTCATCAGCAGGGGAAAATTGGCTGGTTGACAGGACTTTCAGGGGGGCCATAGATTGTGCTCCCCAGAAATGAGGACTTTATGACATTTACATGTTTCTATACCTGAAGCATAGATAGACAGAGACTGTGGTGGTGCCTCTAACTTCATCAGTTGTATCAGCTGTACTAGTAAGAATCTCATCCTTATTAGCAGCCTAGGAGCACAATAAAAACATAAAAAGAAATGTGACAGAGTGACAACCGCCACTAATCATCCTGTTGCCTGGAGACAATTGCATATGAAAAGCACCAGTTGCAGTGCATCACCATCACAATTGCACAGCTTTCATCACTTAGCTCATTCCTTGTTTCATATTCTAGTGATAGGGACTAGGATAGAAGATAGCAATCTTCACTGCTGAGCTACTGTCAATTTAATGTAGCTTTTCTCAGGCTTGTGTCATCCAGATGTATTGACTCCCAGCAGTTATATTTTTCTTGGGAGCATAGCAATTGCTTGTAGTAATCAAGTGGAAAGGTCTGTACTAATAAGTAGCGGTTTCTCACATGAAACTAAGAATTTTGCTTCTGACAGTGCAGCCATTTCCATCCGCTTCATACTTAGTCATCATCAGTGTGTTTCCAGTATAAGTAATTATAGATATTTGGTCATTCACAGAACTAAAACAAATATTATGTTTTATTACACAGATTTCTAAAAAGAACAAAAACAGTGAGTTATAGTCTGAGTGTCATAGGTGTAAACAAAGATGTGGGAGATACTTGTTTCAACCCTGTATTCATCAGTACTACAGATTTCGCTCTCCAGAGTTCTTAGAGTAAGAGGGCCTCAAGCTATGAATCACTGTGTAAGCAGCACATTATTGGCACTATGTTATAGAAGCTAGTATAGTCAGCAAGTTACCTTCTTGATTGGCATAATGCATCACCAACCTGTTATGTTGCTAGCCAGAATTTGTATTGTGTGATTTGGGGATTCTCATTCTGACAGTATTCTGCTCCTGTGGAGTGACAGAGCAAGAGGACAATTCATATATCTGAAATTATTCTTTGACACTTTCGGAGTCGATTAGGTGCCTGACTTATAGCCTTCTCTTCTATTTTTTACAGAGAAAGCATAATAAATGGGTGAATGTACTTTTCATTAAAAAGAGGGGGGGGGGGAATACTTTCCTCATTTGTATTTGTTAATGTGCAACCATGTGAGTGTCCATTAGCTATTAGCAGTTTACTAACTCACATCCGAGCCATGTTTGTGAATGTAGACATCTCTTTGCCACATCTCAATGGTCCTCCAAACCATAGTAGAGGTGTTTGGGTGAGTGCAAAAGCATGAGAGCTCCTGTACAAGGATGAAATCTTTCATATGACCTGGAATTAAATTATGCTAGAATTAGCTTTAATTAACCTGCAGTTAGAACTTTTTTGTGACTGATTATGTTGTTCAAATAATTTTCTGTTATTTGTAAGACTAGAGTAAAGCAGTATATCTTGGGCATAGCATTGTTGGACTGGGCAGACAAGCCAGTTTTTTTGTGCACATTAAATTGGATACTAAAAATATTTATGCACAGATTAAACATTACAGCATTCTGATTTTTTGTTCTGTTTAGGTTGAAGATTATCAAAATTTCTTTTAAGTGCAAACAGTTTTTTATTCAGCTTAGAAAAGAATTGGTGAGTACTGACCTTAACCTTTGTTTCCTGATGTCCCAAAGTATTTTTTCTGCAAGATTATAGTTTAAGAACTTTATGCCTGCTTAAAAACATTTAATTTCACCAGTGTTTCCATTCCCTACTTCTCTGTGGACAGGTATTGTATTTTAATTTAAATAACCTCTGTGTTATGAAATTGTCCTTCTGGTGAAATATTTTTAGTTTAGAGATGAAGTTTGACTGAAATAGTTGCTTGCTTCTCCAGGGACAAAGAAAGGAGGGGAGAGTGGGTGAAAAGCTAGCACTTAACTGAGTTAAAAACAGGAGAAATGTCATTAATTGTGGCTTCTGAATACAGTCAATCTGCAAGTTACAGACAAGATAGATTCTGTAGGTTTGTTCTTAAGTTGAATTTGGATGTAAGTCAGAACAGGTACATTTTAAAAAGTGTAACACCAGCCGTGTGTGTGTGCGCGCGCGCATGTATGAGTTTTTGGATAGTATAAGGAAAGGTTAACACCCTTGTGGTGTTTGTTTTGCTATTTGTGCCCCTGTTCAAAAGATTTCACCTCACTTTCTGTCCCTGTGACAATTGGACTTTGAAAAAATTAGCTTGTTGTAGAAACAAGGATTGGTAATAAAGCTTCAGTAGGGACACCTTTTTCCCATGATAACTCTTCCAAGAGTGAATTTCCCTTCCTAGGTGTAGATTTCCTCTCATTTCCTGTTGTTTCACCTCTGTTGTATGTAAGTAGTAGGCCTTTAACTCGCAGACTGCCTGTACTTTGATATTACATTATAAGGGACCCTCTAAGGATGTTCACAACCTTGCATTTAAGAGGAAACATGATATGGTTTGCTTATCTTGCTCAGTATCACCAATCAAGTTGCACCCAGTGTCCAGCCCCTAAAACGGATTGGTCGTCAGTAAGCTCTGTAATGTGATACAAGTGTGTTATAGCACCTTTGTGCTTTGATACAAGGGCTTTACTTACTTATGTTCTCTGTTTGGTGTCAAACGTCCATGTCAATTGTAACATAGCAATATATATATACATAGCATAATTCAGAATAATTTGCTATGAGGGGAAAGCAAAAGCCCTCACTCCTAGCTTGCCTATCTAGTATTTCAGCTTTCAAGACCCTATAAGTAGCAAACTGCATGGAGATTTGTCTAGATGGATGTCTGTCTTACACCCTTAAGTAAGGCCCCCAAGCCTAGGTATTTAATTGTTGGAAAGTAGTATATATATGCCTAGATGGTCTGCATTTTTTCTCCCCAAGAACAATGTGGAAGCACTTTAAGATTTTTTTTTTACCTTAGAAGGCAGCAAGGGTTGAGTGTTTGCAACACTTTTATCTTGCATGAAACACACACTTGTGCATCCTGTTGAGCAGCAAGTAAAGAGTATTAGAAGACTACTTGGCACTTACAGGTTTTATCGGGCTTTCAGAAAATAAAATACATATCGGTAGGTCAAAAATGTGTTGGTAGGTCAAAGATTACATAATATTTACTGAGTTGTGCAAATTATTTGCACTTGCCTGATTGCAGGTATACGGTTTGTCATCCCTTTAAGGATGTGACTTTCTTATAAATGCTTCCAGAACATGATTTTGTCATATGAACATGACCAAAAAGTATATACAATCATCAAGAGTTTATTATTATTGTTTTTACTTCTGGAAGCATCAGACCATATCCAGTCTAAGCCAGGTCTTCTTGGCATGAGTGGAGGAAACGCTAATCTGGTTTTAATGGTGCATAAAATGACAGCACATAAAAGGCATGCAAAACTTGGCTGCCATTCATAGAAGTATTTCTGTTGATCTTCTGTATAGGATCACCTGAATGTGCTTTAGTGAACATATACTCAATTCATGCAAGAAGGTCCTGGACAAAAATAAATAGACTACTTATCATTGTTCTGTAGAAAACCATAAATGATTTTCCTTGAGTCTTCATAGAGAGTCCTGCAAAAAAGGAAATGTTTAATAAGAATTATGATCTACCCTGATAAATTAAAATTATACTAACGTTCTCAAATGTTCCTCTCAGCATGAATCTAGAGAAACTTTGCTTGGATTCAACATGGTGAATTATCGAGCCTGTAAGAATTTATGGAAAGCTTGCGTAGAACATCATACCTTTTTCCGGTTAGACCGACCACTGCCACCCCAGAAGAACTTTTTTGCACATTATTTTACTTTGGGTTCAAAGTTCCGGTACTGGTAAGATTTCTCTATTACTTGCCTTTTTCTTTCTCAAACTTTAAAAAAAATAGAATAGAAGTAGGTGGAAGGTGTTGGGAACTTTATGAAAATTATCTTCTCTAATATTCTTTTCAAGCTTTCAGAACGCTGTTTTTAAATTAAAAAGCAAAGAATCCTGAAGGGCCTATTAATATGGCCTATAGGTGCTAACCTGAATCATATTTGGATACAAGGCCGATTGTTCTTTTTTCCTTTCTATTTCTTTTCAATTCAGGCAAGATTTGCTTGTAACTTAATATAATAACTCTTTTAAATAACTACAGCCTACAGCCTGAAACTCATTCACTGCTGGAACAAAAATAGCTATAAATTTCACTTCTAAACCTTGATGTTTCCGTTCTTTCTCATTCCCTTTTCGTTATGATCTCAGTGTTATAATTTATTTTCAGTGGGAGAACAGAGGTTCAGTCTGTACAGTATGGAAAAGAAAAGGCTAATAAGGATAGAGTATTTGCCAGGTAAGAAATTTATTTGTGTAATGAGTGCCCTAGTTTATTATAATTGCTTTTCTTCTTTGTTTACAGGTATATTTTGCACATATTTGTCATACATCCTGAAAAGGAAGTAGGGACATGTTTACTGCCGTACTCCCCCCTCCCCAGTGCACAATAAGAAATCTAAAGTGCATAATTCTCTGTTCATTTTTGTAATAATACTATCTACGGTGTTTGAAGGGTCTCTGTACAGCATGTTGACTGGGATGAATGAGAAAGAAAGAAAAAAGATGGAAGATAATTTGAAGGATTTGTAGTCCTATAGACTTGAAAGTGGCAGCCTGGAGAAGTCAACTACAAAATGATCACTTTCCTAGAAGCCAGTAGCAAAATGTACTACTAGGTGATAAGTAAATGTGTCATCTGTAAAATATCGTTGTTCCTATAAAAACATATGATTTAATTTAGCACTATCACAGCAGGTTAAATGCCATCTTACTCACCATTAGCAGTAGGCTAATTTTCCACTTTCTTATGATCAAGAACAATGAATAAAACTTTAAACCTAATATTCCAAGCTGTAGTCTATAATGTTCAGCTAAATCATCTCTCTGGGACAACAGATGAATAAAGATTTTTGATTTTGTTTTAGGGAGAACTTTTTCTATAATCCTTGCTTCTGAAGAACAAACTGTCAGTCCAGTAGAATTGACCCAGAAACTAGCATGGTTTCCAAATTAATAGCAGCACAGTGTGGATAACTTTTTGGTCTTTGGCCTAAATTGTGAAGCATCCTTGTAGGGCAATCAGAAGGGAGAACATTTAAGTCCTCGGGGCATAACCCAGAAAGGAGTTTTATTAAAAGGCAGTGATACACAAAATCAGAGTTAGGTCACTAAAGGCTATCCCAGAGCGGAGGGAGAAAAAGGAGAGTGGCACTGAGCAATAGTATACAGAGAGAGTGAAATTGGAGGCAAAGCAGGAGAAAGCAAGACAGAGGGAATGTGTGTAAGCAAGAGCTCTTGGGTCTGCTAATATGCAGGGAGGAAAGAAGGGGAAACGACTCCTCAGAGACAAGGTAAATCCAAGAGTCAGAGGGCAAGCTTTCCCTTGCCATAGTAGACATGTCCCTAAGCAGGAACACGGGATGATTAAGCACCAGTCCAGAACCTGCTAAGAATGACTTGTGTAGAGTGTCTTCCTGTAGGAATGCAGAGATGTGGTCTAAAAATAGAAACAAATATGTTCCTACTGAAATGCTTTTCCAAAGGACTACTAAAGACCAATTTCTAAAACCTGGAGAGAACAAGAGCCATTTAATGTTTGTTTTTTGATAGTAGATAGACGCTCACAAAAGATCAACAGATCATTGGTTTTCCCCTTGTTGCATTTGAATGTAGTTGAAATTGGCTTCTGCACACCCAAAGATTCCTTTGACTAAGATGCTGAAGCATTAAGATATACTTTTCCTTTTTGGTTGAGGATAGATGATCAGGCGCACCATCTTTGATTGCCAAGACTTGACAAGCATAGCAGTTATAAATGCATAAAATGTAATCTTAAAGACACAATGAAGGCATGGAGCTAAAATGGAGGAGATGTGGCAACAGGGCTCCTTTCACACAATTATTGGTGTTCTTGCAGAATATACTAAAGTCTATCTTTCCATTCATCATCAGGCTCTTTTGTATGCAGTGGAATGCTGAACATGTTTACTTAGAAGAAGTCAATCTTAAGGAGTTGGATGATTTGCTTTTTTAAAGTGTTTAACCTTTCAAGTTTGATGATTTAGGATTAACAGTAATGTTCTTAAAATCTAAGAATTATGTTTCCTTTATTCTGCTCGTTTGTTCATTGTCAAGGGAACATCTTTTCGACCAGACCATAATCTGAAAAAGCAAAATGTGCATCAAATGTGGGTTTGAGTAAATGTTCATGATTTGGGTCAGATATTTCATGTAGGAAGTCTTTCTATTATTCTGTGAGTCAGAGCTTAACTTCTTGTGGTTAAAAGTAATTTATAATTTACTGTGCTGCTTCCTACAATTGATTAATCTAGAATGGTTTTTCCCCCTGAAATTTTGAAGCCAGTAATAATATAATGTTTACTTTATGGAGGCATTGAATGTTTGCTGTTGTATGTTGGAATCCGCCTTGAGTCCCCTTGGAGACATAGGCGGAATACAAATAAAGTTTTATTATATTATCATTATTATTATTTACATCAAGCAGAACTTTGTGTTGCCCATTTTCTTTGTTATTTTTATTGCATAATCTAATCAATTTGAGAGAGAATAGCATTTAAATCTATATAACATGAAGCTATGTAAAAGAAAACCAAAGAAATCAAGATTTGTATTAGTAATTTTCACATGGAAACTTATTTAAAGAGGAAACTCTAGACTTGTATACTGGAAAAAATATTGCAGTGTGGTAACAGTTTCTTTGAAATTTCCACAAAGAACAGGAAGTTTCGGTAACAAGTGTGAGGTGGGTGGGACTCTGAGGTTACAAAAGTTAATAATCAAATGCTCAACATGTAGCTTGACAGTTAAATACTTCTACTCTGCTTTGTAACTGCTGAGAACCATATTTACAGATTTTCTAGTTGCCAATTAAGGTGAGTGCTTCTAAGAGTTGCATTATTTCTAACAGAAAACACAAGTCATTAAATGTACAAAAAGTGGCATAAGCGTAGTTATGTCATATTTGGTTTGATGTATCTGTTTATGTGATCAATCATATAGACAATGTGTTTTTCAAAAAATAGATAGATCTTTGTTTGCTTGTTGGTTTTACCTTCCTAATTTCGTAGAAGCTAAGAATTAAGGCTTTTAATAAGGCTACAAATAAAAATCACTAGCCAAATTTAAGTATCACCTTTTAAATCAGATCTCATGATTTTATATGTGTACTCTTAGTAGATTTGTGAAGCCCTCGGTGGCGCAGTGGATTAAACCCCTGTGCCTGCAGGACTGAAGACCGACAGGTTGCAGGTTCAAATCCAGGGAGAGGCGGATGAGCTCCCTCTATCAGCTCCAGCTCCTCATGCGGGGACATGAGAGAAGCCTCCCACAAGGATGATAAAACATCAAATCATCCAGGCATCCCCTGGGCAACGCCCTTGCAGACGGCCAATTCTCTCACACCAGAAGCGACTTGCAGTTTCTCAGGTCGCTCCTGACACGACAAAAAAAAAAAAAGAAGTAGATTTGTGAGTTAGTTTAGTGATTGTAATCTTGAAATCATTCAGATGAATCAATTAATTGTAATTATAATCTTGAAGTGATTCAGATAAATCAATTAAAAGTCTTCAATGTTTTACATTTCCCTTTACATGTGCTTCTATTTTTAATGCCATAGTAAAGTTTCTAGTTACAAGTAAATTTCTCTGGAGAGTCCTTGGGTATATTAATACCAATATATGCATCTGGTCATAATAATGGATTATGTTTCATAGTTAGTTGTTCAGCAAGGTAAGAAGTACATGTAATCCTTTCTTTTGCTTGCCTGTTTTGAACTACAGTACCTTTGAAGAAGCAGTTTTCCTCCTCATACAAAGTTACAGACATTTATTGAATCTGTTTTTAGTGATACAGAATGCTGGTATACATAATCTTGGGGAGCCTTGCCACAATATAGGCTGGAGTTAGGTTGCTGATTTTGTGAATCTAGTGTTGTGCATAAATTGCATTTAGCTTTGCTTTCTTGTGAATAAGAGATACTTCCTGTGCTCTGAAAAATGATTTCACTTAGGGTGGAACATCCCTTACCCGGAATTCCAAAATGCTCCAGAATTGTCCTTACAGTCGGCTGAGTTGGTAACACTTTAGCTTTCTGATGCTTCAGTGTATACAAAGTTTGTTTCGTGCACAACATTGTTAATGATATTGAGTATAAGATTACTGTCAGGTTATGAGTGCAAGGTGTACCTGAAATATAAGTGAATGTTGTGTTTAGACTTGGGTTCCATCTCTGTGTCATTATGTTCATGTATGCACCAAATACATATCCTAGGATCCCCCAAAATCCAAGACACTTCTGATCCCAAGCATTTTGGATATGGGATAATTAGCCTGTACTTGTACATAACATATGTTGTGCACTATTTTTCTAGGTGTGTTAAAGATAGCCAATCTCATTTTCTTTCTGTTTTAATTCCCACTTGCTGTTTCAATAAACTTCCAGATACACCTCATTGTTAGTTATATTTAAATATTCATTTGTTTTAGATCTCCAAGTAAACCTCTGGCTCGCAAGTTAATAAGTGGAATGGATTGGGAGGTTGTCAGCAGAAATTCATTGTCTGATGATCGGTTAGAAACTCAGAGCTTGCCATCACGTTCTCCACCTGGAACCCCTAATCAGTAAGTAAAACTGAATAATTGTTCTGTAGTTCCATAGTTAGAGTAAGTTGATTTCAGATCCTCTATTTTGGAGAGAAAGCAATCTGAGGAGCACTGATTCTGAACATATGTTTCACTGGATCAAGAACCTAAATTAGTTTTCTACCTTCTTACTACAACTGTGTTGGGGGTTGTGAATGGGAAAGGCCCAGTAGTTCCTTTTTCTTTAGTAGTTCGTTTTCTTTGCTGAATGTTAAGCATACCTTTTATTTATTTATTTATTTATTTACTTTATTTGTATGCCGCCCCTCTCAGCCCGAAGGTGACTCGAGGCGGTTTTAAAATAACTCTTATGGTTGTGAGGTGAAGTTTGGGGGAAGACAGGTGAAATGAATTGTATTGGTGATAGATACAGTATGGTTTCTAAATAGCAATAATTCAGAATTATAGCTACATTTTAGCTTTATTTTCCAAAATATTAATTTATGAACATCTAGTCTAGAGGTGGAATGTGTGGCCCATAAATATAATGTTGTCTCCAAGTATTAAAAATTAATAGAATTTTCATTTGAAAATTGCCCAAAGATCTAGGAGACGAAAAGAGATTATTTTCATGTAGTACAGAAAAAGTAGCTAATGATGTGTGTTTCTAGTGACAGTAGACAGTATGAATTATTGTTTCTGAACAAGTCATATAATTCTTCTAAGGAAATTATTTACTAGTTCATTTGTTGGAATTTTTGAGGAAATTCTCAGATGGGCTAAAGAAGCAATCCACAATTGCCTACTAAAGTAAATCATAGTAAGGCTAAATCTCAACAACTAATAAAGGAATTTAAAAAACTGATGTGGGTTGAGAAGCAACTGATATAATTGTCCACCGTTGAAAAACTGTAATTGATTGTAGATCCACTGTTCATCCCTACCTTCTTGATGCTGAGGTTCAATCTCTAGAATTGCCCACATTCTGTCCAGATCCAGCTCGCTTGCTGGAGAAGTATGGCATTCTCGGGATGGCCAGGAGGAGCAATCCACTATGTTTCACTCCCACATTCCAACCGGAATGACAGTATCCAAGATTTTTTAGTTGAGCCATTATGTCCCTGCCCCTTCTCACAATAGTTTTTTCAATCCCGCCTAACCAGCCAGTCATGTTTGTCCTTCTCTGACAAACATAAAAGGCAAAAATGTTTGTAAGGATAAACAACAAGGAGTAAATTAGCAAAGATACGCAGATTCTACCTGAGCATTTGGAAGAAATTTCTGACTGTAAGAGCTGTTAAGAAGTGGTACTCTCTGCCTCTCCTTGGAAGCTTTTAAACAAAGGCTGGATGGCCATCTGTCAGGGTGCTTTGATTGTGCTTTTCTTGCATAGCAGGGGGTTGAACTAGATAACCTGTGTGGTCTCAACTCTATGATTCTATGATACATCTCCTGTGAAGAATATAAAAGATTAGATTAAGTGAGACCTTGTTTGTCTCTTTCCCTCTAAAAAATTTGGATAATCAACTATTTTTTTCCTTAGGCTAGATAAAAAGTTGTTTTTATTTGTTTTATGGTTATGCTAAGGCATTTGAGTATATGCTACAAGATCAGCAGCATTATCATAAGATGTTTGTAGAGTGGCAGGATGGAAAGAGCCATCAATGTTTGCCTGTTGCTATAAAGTTGATAAATACATATTGGAATAGGTAGCGTTTGGAGAGTCAAGCATAAATGTCTTTTGTCTAAGGATGAAAGAGATACGATTTTGTTAGTTTTACACATTACAAAAAACAGGAGGAGAAAGCATAAAGTTTTGGCTTTGTGGGAAAAGTTGGATATTGAATAATACATAAATAGTCCAGGACAGGGTAGCTTGGATGTCAAAAGTGGTTTGGAAAGCTAGAATGTCGATTTAAAATTCTTTTAAGATTGGTTTTTGCTATAAAATATTTTGAATCACATTTGAGAGAAAAGCAGAATATTAAATAAAATTTAATATTGTGAAAGCAATAGCTAACTGTTATGATGTCTGAATTTCTAACCTTGAGAGATACCCCCATTTTTTTTGGCTAAACGTTCTAAGCACAATCCTATACACGGCTACTCAGAAATAATTTCCAATGTATTCAGCATTACATAGTCCCAAATTATCATATATAAAACTGAAAGCTTAATATATATTTTTCGTATTTTCTTGTTACATTTTTGAGGTGATTTTACTTGATTACCAAAAATCACCACAGAATGATTTTAGGGTCACTGTATTTTGTTCTTGACTAAAATGTGGTTTCTGAATTGGATTTCTTGGTTATGCTGTAGCCTACTTTGGATGTGAGAGACTCATTGATTGTGTTTCAAATCTCACTACAAAGGTGCCTATTGTCCGCACTACAAACTACTTTTCTTCCTTTTTAAACTAAATCACCATAAAGGAGGACCTCTTCTCCTCCTATGACTCAATTGGCCTTTTTACAGCCAACCTCCCTCTTTTGTGGTGAGCTAAGTGGGAAAAAAGGATCATATTCTCTTTTTAAAAAAACCCTTTTTGTCTCTTGGTACATTTGCTGAATTATAATACCCAGCCTGAGAGTCCTAGAAGTTTGCTTATTTTGTAATATTTTGAAGATTTATACAGGATTGTGCTATTGTCTTGATTTTCCTTCATTTTTTCTATTCTTTTTCATTGAAAAATCACTAATCAGCCCCAAAGTCAATTTTCTTACAAATTTAAAGTTAGTGGATACAATGGCTAGGCGACTTAACCATTCTTACCCCCATTGTACATCATCTGCAAATATTATTGATCCATGCTAACTTGCTAAAAAAAACCTTTTTGCTTCTGCCACAGTCTTCATCACCGTGAAAAAAACATGTAAGGTTATGTGTACTGCATTGAGAATTCATTTTGGTTACTTTTTGTAAATCTCATTTAATAATATGTGTTCAGTCCTTACTCATGGACCTGCACATCCTACTAGAAAAAGAAACAATTCTTATTCCCACTGCCTGTGATATTTTGCTTTCCCCTTATCGCCAGATGTCCACTTCTTCTTGCTTATGTGCAAGGAACTTTGGCATTTGTAATTCCTGGTTATTTATTTATTTATCGTGTCAGAAGTGCATTGCGAGTACAGTTATAATGTATTTAAAGACACAAATAAAGTTAAACTTGGAATTATACTAAATGTCCTTTCACCAGAAGCTGGCCACTGGTGTTGCTATGAGAAGGTCCTCCACTGTGCATGTGGCAGGGCTCAGGTTGCATTGTAGTAGGTGGTCTGTGGCTTGCTCTTCTCCACACTCGCATGTCGTGGACTCCACTTTGTAGCTCAATTTCTAAAGGTTAGCTCTGCATCTCATGGTGCCAAAGTGCAGCCTGTTCAGTGCCTTCCAAGTCGCCCAGTCTTCTGTGTGCACAGGAGGGAGTCTCTCATTTGATATCACTTACTGATTGAGGTTCCGGATTTTTGCTGCCACTTTTGGACTCTCACTTGCTGAGGTGTTCCTGTGAGTGTCTCTGTAGATCTTAGAAAACTATTTCTTGTTTTAAGGCATTGGCATCCTGGCTGATATCCAAACAGAAGATGAATCAGATATGTCAATACCTTGGTCCTTTCATTACAGCTGCTATTTCCCAGTGGATGTCAGGTGATGCAATACCAGCTAAACAGTATAAGTTCTTCAGTGGTGTTGGATGTAGACATCCTGTGATAATCCGGCATGTCTCATTAAGAGCCACATCCACTATTTTAACATGGTGAGATGTATTCCACAATTGGCATGCGTTCTCAGCAGCAGAGTAGCAAAGCGCAAAGGCAGATGTCTTCACTGTGTCTGGTTGTGGTCCTCAGATTGTGCCAGTCAGCTTTCGTATAATACTATTTCTAGCACCCACTTTTGCTTGATATTATAAGTCAGAGCACAATCCAGAGTAATTCCCAGGTATTTTGGTGTGCTGCAATGCTCCAGTGGGATTCCTTCCCAGGTAATCCTCAGAACTTGAGATGCTTGTCTGTTCTTAAGATGAAAAACACATGTCTGCATTTTAGATGGATTAGATATCAGCTGGTTTTCCCTGCAGTAAGAGCACCTAAAGCTTCATAAAGCTCCTGTTCATCCATTTAAGCTCCCTGCTTAAGCGGTGATGGCACAATCATCAACATAGATGAGGCTATGTCCCTTCTGGCAGTGGCTGGTCATTTGTGTAGATGTTAAACATTGATAAAGCAAGCATACTCCCCTGAGGCAGGCTGACTTGCAGCATTCCTAGTATAAGAATGGCTTTTTTATCTGTCAGTGTTATTTGGTCCTAATTTAACTGCACAAGCACACTATGTACTCTAGAGAATGGCCTTCAGGATTGCTCTAGTGGTGCTTCTAATTGGCTCTTACAAGATTTGAACAATAAATGTAAGGAAAGGAAATTTCTATAACCCATGCATGATCTGTTGTTTATTGCTATTATTATTTTCTTCATCATGGGGGTTGGGCCCTGAGCCAGGGCACTTTGGACTTCTGAGCCTTAGTAGAATTTTTATTTCTTCCCCAGTTTGTGTCTGGTTCACAGAAATCTTCCATTTGTTTGTGAAATTATTTCTAACACAGCATTGCTATACCTATCATATGCTAGATGCTATTACATGAACTTGGGGACAATATAGCTAGTAGAAATTGTGCTATGTCCTTGGATGTATTTCAAATATAGTGATTTCCTTCAGTGGTTAAAATACTATTTGATTTCAAAAGGCTTTTGAAACTATAGCAAATTCCTGGTTATTTTTTGACTAGTTCATATAGGAGTTCTCTTAACTGGTGTTGAATAGTAGAAATGATCAAATTAACTAGAGCCTTTACATTTTTTAATACAGAGTGAAAATTGTACATCTTTACTAACATAATATCCTCCCATTACTGAACTTCTATTAATTCCCTTCTTAGTCGCAACTCTACTTTTACTCAAGAAGGAAACCGTTTACGGCCATCTTCCGTTGGACATCTAGTGGACCATGTTGTCCATCCTTCACCAAGTGAAGTTTTTGCAAATCATCGATCTCCTTCTTCCACACAGGCCAACAGTATCATTCTAGAATCATCACCGTAAGTTTTGTTTTTTTGTGGCTTTTATTTTATAGGTATTTCAAGATTTCTACTTGAAAAAATGTAAATTTCCCTGGCATAATCAACAATCTGAATCTCCTTGGTTAGTCACAGCTAGAATTAGACCCATGAAATTATTGCTCAGGTAGTGAGTTGATAACTAGATTCAGTAGATCTAGTTTTCATTGTGAGTAACAATAGCCATTGGAGTCATACAGGGCAGGAGAGTGACTGGATGAGACTTGGTGCGGGGGGGGGGGGGGGCTAATCTCTCTGAGGTCTGTGCAGCAGCAGACAGGCCTGGAGGTTAGGAAGTTGAAGTTGCAGTGGTCTGTTGTGATTCCATCCCCCTGACCAGGTTCCCCATTCCACAGACAATAGTGTTTGAGTATTTACCTAAAGGTGGGTAACGAGAACATAATAAGGATACCGTTGCTATACCACCTACCCTGCTGTTCAGCAGTCTCCCTTCTTGAGCTAGTCAGGGTGGTCTTGGAGTTGACAGTGGAGTCTCAGCAGCTCATAGTCCTGAGAGACTTCAACGTTCATGCTGAGACTGCCCTGTCGAAAGTGGCTCAGAACTTCATGGCCTCAATGACAGCCATGGTTCTGTCCCAGGTAGTGTCTTGCCCTACTCATGCTGCTGGACACACTTAGGACCTTGTTTTCTGTGTGGAATGGGATGATGGTTGGGAGAAACGAGAGAGAGGTCCTTCTTGGTGGCTACCCCTAGACTCTGGAACTCCCTGCCTATGGAAGCCAGAATGGCTCCCTCCGTGCTGTCCTTCCGGTAGCAAGCTAAAATCTTTTTAGTAGTCAGGGGGTGCTGTGGTTTTTAACTTTGAATATGTTTTAATGGCTTATAACTGGGAAATTTTAATATTGTTTATATTTAATCCTGTTTTAATGTTTGCATAATTTATATTTTAAATTGTACACTGATGCTTTTATGTTAAGCCGCTTTGAGTCTCCTACAGGAGAGATAAAGCAGGGCATAAATAAATATAATAATAACAATGATAATTGCATAGCTTTCTATAGATATTTATTGTACTACTACTTATTCCTTATATTCATTTTTATAAGAAGATATAACCTGAATATAGATGTTATCTTGTGTATGTTATATATAAATCAAATGTCTTATTTCCTGGAATTGAGCAGACCACACATTTGACTACAAGAATTCTTAACTAATTTTAGTAATCCCTGAAAACGTGAAGGACACCCATGAGAAATGTACTGAATTAATTGTGTTGATTCACAGACTTTGTTGTGTCATGAAAAATGTGAATTCAGAGAAATGTTAATTTGAAATGTTTGTCACTAATTCGATTGCAGCACAGTTATCACCTCTAACAGGAAAACATTGTGCTGTAAAAGCTATATAGAAAGTGACAGTTTTACAGTGTGACTAAATGAACAGCCCTTAGGTTTTTAGGTCTACTGGTGAAGTTATATGTTGTAAATTAATTATCTACTTCAATAAGCTACTGACCAGATGGCCCATGGACATATCAAGTTACTGGTGGAAATTAGGGCAACTTTCAGCTTGTGCCTCACTGAAGTCACTTGATAGAGGTTGCTTGTAGTACGTTTGGATTAGAACAAGGGTAAATATTTTTTAAAAGTAAAATAACAGTGAGGTGGATTATTCCTGTTTAAACTCATGGTAAAATATGAATCTTGCAATTCACTTTCTAGAAAATGGGAGAGATAAGCTTTTAGAGCAAAATCCTTCTCTGCCATACACAGCTGTTCAGTATTTCTAAGAGAACTAAATGTGTCATCTTTGATTCCGTTCCTGACTTTTAGTGTTAACAAAATTCATTGTCTTCATGTAAACGTGTATTGGAGTGGCCCACATAGAGGCTATACTTACTCCATGTCATTTTTGCAGCCCCTACCATCAATTTCTGTGGTGGTTTAATCTTCAGTATAAGTAAAAATTCAATTTCAGTCTGCTTGCTGGAACTCTGGACAAGAGCACTGCGGCATTTTGTCATGGGTCCTAATCGTTTCTAATGTGTAATTTAAAACTAGTTTTCAATCATTGTTTTGTTTAAATATTTGCATCTGATACAGTTTCATTTAGGGCTTTATGTAAATGTCATCATGAGTACCTTGAATTCAGACAAGAAGCAAATTGACAACTACTACAGTTCTTTTAAGCCAGTGTCTTAAAGTTTCTGATTGGTGTGCCCATCAGAAATCCAGCTGTATTATCTTTAAGGACAGACCCATGTGGAGGGCAATTCCAAACAGGAATTTACCTTTGTATGAATTATTGTGGTTAGATTAATACTAGTCCAACAAAGGACATAATTGGAGGGCCGCATATTTTGTGCTACTGAATCACCTGGCCTTCCAGCAACAAAGGTGGATTCAGGAATACTCCCAAGCTGTGCATCTACTGCTTCAGAAAGAATAATTCCATTAAGGCAGGTTGCTTTTCCAGTTTCCAGACTTAGGACTCACCAATCCACAAAGTCTTTATCTTGTCAGGATTCATCCAGCCCTTTGGAACAGTGGGCACTAAGCCAGCAATTTCAAAGCCCTGGCAGATTCCAGCAACAGTAAAATTTAGAACTGACTATCATCAGCATGCTGATGACTCCTAACCCTGAAGCTCCCAGTGACATCTCCCAGCAGCTTCATATTGATACTGAATGGCACCGAGGATAGAATATTACTTTGTTGTAGCCAAACTGAATATCCTAGAAGGTCTACAGTGACATTAATAGAACCTGCAAATCTTAATGTTGGAAGAGGTACCATGAATACTATCTAGTCCAGTCCCTGCCATGCAGAAATACAGAACTATAGCACTCTTAAAAGATATATTTCCGATTTCCTGTTGACTTTAAAACTGGTTTATAATCACTGACATAACAGTTTTCTAATCTTAACTTTCTGTAATTATTTTGTGATCTCATTAGCATGTAGCTCTAGTACTTTTGCCATTTTCAATACCTCCCTTTGTTTTCTCATTTTGTATGTAGATCTCAAGAAACCCCTGTAGATGGGAAACCACCTGCACTGCCACCTAAACAATCTAAAAAGAACAGTTGGAACCAAATTCATTATTCACATTCACAACTAGAATTGGACAACCATATAAATGAAACATATGATGATGACTCTTCTTCATCTCCTGAAAAATCTACGGTAAGATATTATGTTAACTCTGTCTGACCTGAATCAAAATTGTCTTGTACAAGAGGTTGCTTTCTTCATCATCTGTCCAGGCTTCAATGAACTTTGCAAACAATTTATACTTTCAGGCTTTTTAGTGTTCTACAGAAATCTTCTCTATAACCTGTAGGGTTATATTTATTGCTGAAAAAGATTAATCAAAAAGGTGCTTCATGTTATATTTGAAGTTTGAGTCTTTAGTTTTAAAGATATTGGTACGAAAGGGAGATGTTTGTTACTTTCTTTGGTTTTGCACATGGTAGTGCTTGCAAAATTTATGATAGATGAGAAATATGTTTAAGGTATCCCTTATTTTATGAACAATGTATCCAGCAGTTATCAGCAGTCTAATGCTACTCTTGTGATACTACTTTTATCACATAGCTGTGACATATTTTGTCACATGTATTCATTAGAAATAATAGTTACATGCAATGCAGTTTTCTAAAAGACTGACATATTTCTGAACATCAGTGTTATTTCCGTAGTACAATTCCCTTGTTTGTAAATACCAGGGATGCTTTATGTGAGATTTACAACTTTCAGTATGTTTTGGCAAGTTCGTTATAGTACCTTTGGGAGGCATGCAGCAGTGATTCCACTAGTACTTTTGCCGTTCGATAGTTCAAATGCTGAAACAGATTATCATTGAGCAAATTCTAGTGAATGAGGAACTTGAAAAGTATGAATATTTCCCATACATCAATACAATTTGTTTTGAAATAAATGGATTATAATCGGTAGTGTTAATCCAGTATCTGAACGTATTCCATTTCCTGTGTGTGCTCCCCAAATCTGCTTGGGAAATTTGTAGGCTTCTGTAGAATAGTGGCAGATGGGGTGCAAGCAACTGAAAAAAGAGAAGTGGAAAATCCCACTCTGATTAGAAATCCATTTTTTTAATGGTAGATGGAGCGCAGTTTGTTTAGAAGTAGTTTACAAGTTGTAGTTCCATTTTCTCTCCTGTATTTGGTTGCTTTTACTTCAGCTTAATACAGACATGCTCCGATTGTTACTGAGGTGCATTAATAACTCTGTCATAATTTTAACTGTAATTATAGACTATTTTGAAATGTAAAAATATATTTCAGAAAACATTCAGGAAATAGAGAAAATAACAATATGTTGTTTTCATTTTCAGCCCAATGGTGGAATTCCACATGACAATCTCGTTCTAATCAGAATGAGACCTGATGAAAATGGAAGATTTGGATTCAATGTAAAGGTATTGAGAAAATCTCTTTCCTCATATCTTTGGATAAAGCATATATAATACTCCACATTCCTTCAATATTTACCTTTCTTTCAAAGGGTGGGTATGACCAGAAGATGCCAGTCATAGTGTCCAGGGTGGCTCCAGGAACACCTGTAAGTTAACAAACAAAGTTTACTGTGGTCTCTGATTTGATATATGTATTCAGGTTGCCTTTGTTCTCCTGTGTTCTTCAAGGGCTGTCAAGGGCTATGCTGTCTTCAAGATATACTGTTAATCCCATATTGACACGCAGCTGGAATATATATTTTTCCAGTGCATTGATGTGTAAGAATGTATATGTGTAAAAATGTGTGTGTGTATGAGGATCTCTACTTGTAAAAATGTGTATATTGCCATCTTGGATTTAACATGAAAATAAGAATAAGACATTAGAATCATAGAATCATAGAATCAAAGAGTTGGAAGAGACCTCATGGGCCATCCAGTCCAACCCCCTGCCAAGAAGCAGGAATATTGCATTCAAATCACCCCTGACAGATGGCCATCCAGCCTCTGCTTAAAAGCTTCTAAAGAAGGAGCCTCCACCACACTCCGGGGCAGAGAGTTCCACTGCTGAACGGCTCTCACAGTCAGGAAGTTCTTCCTAATGTTCAGATGGAATCTCCTCTCTTGTAGTTTGAAGCCATTGTTCCGTGTCCTAGTCTCCAAGGAAGCAGAAAACAAGCTTGCTCCCTCCTCCCTGTGGCTTCCTCTCACATATTTATACATGGCTATCATATCTCCTCTCAGCCTTCTCTTCTTCAGGCTAAACATGCCCAGTTCCCTAAGCCGCTCCTCATAGGGCTTGTTCTCCAGACCCTTGATCATTTTAGTCGCCCTCCTCTGGACACATTCCAGCTTGTCAACATCTCTCTTGAATTGTGGTGCCCAGAATTGGACACAAATGGATTAGAATCCATTATAGAGCAACAAATTAAAATAATAACTTTAAATTTAAAGAGTCCAGTAACAAAGCATTTCTCTATGTTGATAGAATTTGGGGGGTAAGTCTTTAATTTTTCAAACGTACAGACACTATTGATGAAATCTTCAAAGCAATTCTTGTCTATTGTATTTTGCCCTTGTTTTCAATTATTTAAGCTATTTTTGTATTATATTCATGTTAGTGCACTAAAATGGGTGTTGTCTGGATAAAAGATAACATTTTCTTACGGGAAAATTGTGAATGACTTTGATATTTAAAATACAACCAAAATTGCATATTGATAATCCAAAGCTGGTTGTCTCTGAACCAGCTTTATATCTTTATACTGAATTGTTTAGAGAGATGTAATTACTGTTGTTGTGTGCTGTCCTGCTACCTTGGGCACAGGATAAAGCATTTGTTTCCTTTTTCAGGCAGATATTTGTGTTCCTCGTTTGAATGAAGGAGACCAGGTTGTATTGATCAATGGCAGAGATATATCAGAACATACCCATGATCAGGTTGTCATGTTTATTAAAGCTAGCTGTGAACGGCACTCCGGTGAACTTGTACTCCTAGTTCGGCCCAATGGTGAGTAATCTTATCTGTGTAAACCATCTCTCTTCCCTAAACCTCAAATATTACAGCACGTTTCTATCTTGATCACTGTGTTCTTTTCTGATAATCCTAGGCATAGGGTTTTTTTTACCATAGTTGCATACAGTCAGTCCCTGTATTACAAACAACTCAGAGTTAAGAACAGGGGTAAGACAACAAGAAGTGAGAGAAATCTATCCCAGGAAGGGAATTCCACTCCTGGAAGAATTATCATGGGGAAAAGCGGTCTTCACTGAAGCTTTATCACCAATCCTTGTTTCCACAACAAACCAACTTTTTCAAAATCCAGTGATCACAGGGACATAAAATGAGGTGAAATCTTCTGAGCAGGGGCATAGACAACAAAACAAACACCTCAGGGTTGTTAACACTTTCCTATGTTATACTATCCAAAGCTAATATATATGAATTATTTCCATATATGTATAATATAAATGTATTTTTATGGTTGGAGCTAGACTTAAAAATGTATCTTGTTCATAACTCGGGGACATTCTGTGCCAAGAAGTGCTTTAAAAAACCCACACAACACTCTAGTAATATTGTGGCAAAATTGGTTTGTTTATAGTGTGCCACAAAATTGTTTAGTTAACTCCTGCTCTGGGAATAGTTACATCAGTAATAGTGTTAGCTTTTCTGCTGCTTTTGTAATGTTCTTGATTTTTGCTGAGGTGGTTGTCTGGAACACAGTCTAGAACTGTGTCTGCACACAGTAGCTAATTAATATTGTTTAGCTTGTTACAGTAGTGATCTTCTATAATGATATTTTGTTCAAAAAATTGGATCCAGGTTTACAAATTCTCAGAGCAATCCATGTAATTCAGTGAGATTCAAATCTCTTTCACTTCGTTTTTTCTGCTTTAATTGCCCTGAATCCCGTTAGGGAGAGAGGATGGGTTAAAAATAAAGTGTTGTTGTTGCTGTTGTTGTTCGTGTCAGGAGTGACTTGAGAAACTGCAAGTGACTTCTGGTGTGTGAGAATTGACCATCTGCAAGGATGTTGCCCAAGGGACGGCCAGACTTTTTTTTGATGTTTTACCATGCTGTGGGAGGCTTCTCTCATGTACTCGCATGGGGAGCTGGAGCTGACAGAAGAAGCTCAACCCACTCTCCCCAGATTTGAACCGCTGACCTACCGGTCAGCAGTCCTGCAGGCACAAGGGTTTAACCCACTGTGCCACTGGGGGCTCCATTGTATTATTATTAATCATAACTTAGATTTAATTCAAATAACGTTAGGTTATGCCTAGAATCTCCCCTTTTTGTTGTTGCTGTATGTTGCCTTGATGTTCCCCTTCAAAAACTGGAAAGGATATTTTGAGATTTCCAGAAGGCAGGGATGGTTTGACACATCTGCTTCATGCTCCGGGCAGACAAAGCAATATAGAAGAATAGTCACCTAATTAGCAATTAATTATCAGAGAGAACTCTCTCCAGACAAGTAAGAGAGCATACGGATTGCCTACAAGTGCTCGGGATCACTGTTCCTCACAAGGAAGCTACTAATTACTGGCAATTGGAAGCAAGTGTGAGCAGCATGGAGTTGTTTGTTTAACCAACTACCAGCTTGTGAAAGTAATTTTCTTCTTATGCAGTGATTTACAATTTCACCACAGAGATTTGGGGTCAGTGACTTCATTAAAAAATCATCTGAAAATCCAAGTCTATAACCATCCTTCTTTTGCACAGTGGTTTAATATATTGTATGGCACATCAAATAATTATAAAAGGTTATTAACACAAGACTTTCACTTTCAGAAGTACATATTCTTGTCACCAGAATTTGTTCTTCTACATGACTAATAATTCTTTTGTTAATAAATTATTCATCCAGTTTATCTGAGGCAGAGTAGATTAATGTGTCCATAGCTTCCAGTGCTCTGGTATGGATACTGGCTTTAGTGATAAACTGCATGCTTTTCTCACTTGAATTCTATAAAAGCTCTTGTGCCTCTCATGCTCAGAGACTTGTTTCTGTCTTATTTTTTCAGTTACCACTATGTTTTATTTTTTTTCAGTTACCATCTTTTGTGTGACATTGTTCTCTAGATATTCCCTCCCTCCTTGATGTAAATGTGTCCATGTTGAAGGCCAGTATTTATAGAATCATCATTGGAAGAGACTGCCTGACATATTTAATAATTTTGTTTTCATATGTTTTAATATAGATAAAATATACTTCAGTTAGCTTAATTGAACTTGCTTCATTGGACTTACATACATACAGATCAAATATCTATTTTTCTTTTTCTTGTTGTTGCATCAGTTTATGTTTCTCATTAGAATAGGTGTATATATTACCTTTTACCTGACAAGTTGATATGTAACATTTGCATTGTTTTGGCATGTTGTTAGTTAACTGAGATATTTAATTTCAATTCACTGTCCAAGAACAACAGCAGAACCATTCAGCAGGAAGGTATAACATGAAGTAAAAGGACTAAAATGGATTGTTGAAATTGTTTCACCTGAGTCAAAAGGCAAGGGATGTTATCCAGATGTTTAGAAATATGTGTGTTTTAACTTCACCACCTCTATTGTATCGCAGTCATAGAAAATAAATTGGGTGGGTGTTCTGATTTAACTTCCCAAACTGTGTTGATTGCAGTATTACTTTAAATAAAAGATCTTGAAATGTAGAATTTAGTGAAAGCCATAATTTCCACCCCCACACTTATTGCAGTTTCATTTGAGTTCCAAGCATTGGTAATAAAATGTATTTGTGTTCCACAAACACTGTCTGGCACTTATGTGTATAACACATGTTGTTTCCAGGCAGGAAGTGTATGTGAGGTAATGGTTAAGTGATACCAGCATGCATTCTAGCAAAAATTAGGCCTCTTGTGTCCTTGATTAACCTGCTCAGTTCCAAGTAATAAAACTGCATGAAAGAGAGAGAGATAGGGTGTTTTTATTTTGCCCATTTATAAATTGAATTTAGATTTTTATGTAGAATCCAACTGTGATTGTCTACCAACAAAATGGATGCTGCTGGAGAAAAAGATCCCCCAAATCCAGAGGTATTCAATCTTTAGTCCTCCAGATGTTTTGTACTTCGTTTCCCAGAAGTCCAACCTTGTACAGCCAATGCTAAGGAAATCTGAGAGAGGAAGTCCAAAATGTCTGGAGGGCCAAAGGTTGAGAACCACTGTCCTCAGTTCCTTTACCAGACCAGCTCCCCATCTCATCCTGGCCAAGATCTATTGTAGAAAATTGGCAGACATTGTGCAGTTGATTTTGTAAGCAAGGTGAAGTGAAGGGCCAGAAGAAGAAAAAGAAGCATGACACTGAATGGCAACCAACTTTTGTCACTGGTAGGCCATACTACCTTAAAAACAAATGAGTGTTGTAACAAAATACTGCAGTGGAGAACTTCAGTTTAAGATTTCAAATACTTCATACTATCCCTCCCCCGGCCCCCTCCTTCTAATGGTTTTCTGACTCTCAGTCCTGGATTATTTTGTGGTCACCTCCTTTGGATTTACCCAGACTTTTTTTCTATATCTGCATATTTGGGGATTCCTCTGAAGATGCTGATAACTGCCTTTTGTGCATAGGCAGCATCATTCTGCTTTCTTAATGGCCAGCAGCCAAAACTCATATCTCTGCTATTGTATGTAATAATTTGTTCACTATATGTAGTTGTATTAACATGTTTGTGACTGGTGCATTTGATTTTGCATAGTTTCTCAGTGTGCTGGTTGTTCTTAATGAAAATGCTCTTTGCCATGATGAAGTATCACATCAGTGAGAAAAAGAAGAGTAAAAAAAATGTTTTGCAGAAATGCTTCCAAAATTGCCTTTCAGGAGTTTGGAGAGCACTTCCATCATGTTTGGAAGCCACCTGGGCCTTCCAGGAATTTAAAAATCATTTTTCCCCCAAACACTGGTTTTGGCTCAAAATGAATTTGTAAGGGTTTTTCATCAGGGGGTGGGGGGTACTGACTGAGCCAATATAGTCTCAGGAGAGGCCTTATTTGAAAGAGAAGAGGAAGTCACTTTGTCTCATGTCCTCCTGTCACAAAGGCCTCCCTTGGGCCTCAAATGGTTTCGAAAAGGCCCAAAACGTATTAAAAATACACTCAATATTCCCTAGAGAACATTTGGGGTTGGGGGGGGGGGGACACACTAATTCTATTTTTTTTCAGAGCAAATTTTATTGGAGCCCTCATAGATCTAATAATTCAGTTCCTTTGCCTTCTGCAGTTGCCCAACTCTGCTTCATCTGTTGTTCCAGTGATATGATTCTACATAGGTGGAAAAATAACTCTGTTATACCCATATTTATTCAGGTGTAATGCACCATCAAATCTAATAAATACCTCTACTTTCAAAACCCCGAAACAAAAAAAATGCTGCCAAATGTAATACTTAGCAGCCAAACTGTGTTCTTTGTAATTTGGTCAAAAACAGGTGTGCATTATTGTTGCGGCATGCTTCGAATTCCTTCATTATAAACAATTGTGTTAGAACACCAATGCTTTCCATCAATGGAAAATAAAACCTTGGAGTGGATCTATGCTGTAGAATGAATCCACTTGAATTACCTTGGCTCAGTGCTATGGAATCCTGTGGGCTGTAGTTTGACAAGGTCTTGAGTCTTCTCTGACAAAGAATACTGATGCCTTACCAAATTGCAAATCCCAGGATTGCATAACATTGAGCCCTGGCCATGTAATTAGAGGTGACGTTTCTCAAAGAGGAGCTCCAGGTTCACCTCCTGAAGCAGCTTCCCCTTTTGCTTTGGCTCAGCATTAAGATTACCGTATTACATGAATCTAATGCGCACCCTAATTTTGGCAAGATCATTTAGCCAAAAAAGGTGAGCATTAGATTTGAGTAAATACAGGATATGAAACTGACCTCAGTTCTGTCTTTATTTGAATTGACTCACCAATAAGCCACTGGATTATGAACCTTACTAAATACATTTTGCCATATCTTTTTAAATACTATCTTTATTACTATCAGTGCTTTGAGCTGTTTGGAAGCCCGTGGTTTTGCAAAAGTACCATCAGCACTGATCTCCTAATTTTTACAGAACTACACCCATTAAATTCTTATTGAAAATCCCCTTAGATACCTTCAGCCTTAATCTTGCCTGCAATAATTGCAGTATTAATCATTTATGCTATTCTATAATCATCTGGCTTCAAAAAAAGGCAATTGTTTACAAAGAACATAATATATCTTTTTGGTACAGATGAATTTTCACTGCAGCAGCTCATTACGATTGTGCAGTTTCCCCCTTTTTTACTGATTGTACTACTTCTGGTTTATTGTAGCTGTTTACGATGTAGTGGAAGAGAAGCTGGAGAGTGAGCCAGACTTTCAGTACATCCCTGAAAAGTCACCACATGATGGAGTCCACCAGGATGACAATGCTCTGAGGGAATCTATGTTTCAGCTGGCAGAGGGGCTTATTACTGGGACTGTCCTGGCTCAGTTTGATGTAAGTAATGAATTTCCTGAAGATCATGTCCATCTCTGTATGCTTTTTAGATGAGTGTTCTGTATATAGAGCAGTAAAATAGTCTGTAACAAGATCACTTATATTATTTGGAGCAGGCAAGTAATGAAAACAGTTTTGCATTTTCCTCACTCTCTGTGTGTTCTTGTTAAATCACTTTGAAACCAGTACTTTTTCTCATATATTTTTAAAATATTCCTCTTAAATGATCAAGAGTGAACCTGTTCTTAAGTGTGTTGTGCCTAGATATTACAGGTGTCTTAACTGACTGAGTAACTGAGTCTCAATATCAGTACCTTCAGCCACTTATGTGTATAACACATGTTGTTTCCAGGCAGGAAGTGTACATGAGGTAATAGTTAAGTGAACCAGCATTCATTCTAGAAAAAAAAAATAAGGCTTTACTTCCCACACATTTTAAAGTGCTGTGTGAATGTGGAGTGAAAAAAACCCATACTTTGTGTTTGGTATTGTACTTTGTTTTGTTGAATAATTAGTATTGAGCTCAGTCAGACAGTAAATTTCTTGTTTGGACAAAATATACTATTTTATTTTGTTTTTATTAATGTTGTCTATCAGATTAGGACACAGTTTAAAGGTCTTGAAGCATTCTGTATGGACGGTTCCCCATCTCCTTTTGTTTTCATAGTCTCTTTCTCAAATGAGGGATTATGTAATTGCTGTACTTTCAGATTTTCAGACAAGATCTTTAGCAGAATTTGTAGGTGCAAGAAACTCCATCTTTCAGAAAACACATTGCAAAAGGGCAGTATGTGACATTTTTCTCTTTAGCAACATGTTTGCAAGAAGAAAAAGGTGCTTTTGCATTAATATGCTGCTGTTCTACATGTATAGGGCACTTTCAGATTATTTCTCATCTTCTGCTTGTTACTATATGACATGTTTTTTTTTTCCCTTTTAGCAACTTTATAGGAAGAAACCTGGGATGACAATGTCTTGTGCCAAATTACCTCAAAATCTTTCCAAAAATAGATACAGAGACATTTCGCCTTGTAAGTTTTTTATGTCTGTAAGTTAATGCAATTCATTCATTGGTACCATTTTAAAAATTCACAGGTGTTTTAATCATCTTTTCTTTTTAGATGATGCTACACGGGTCATTTTAAAGAGTAATGATGATTACATCAATGCAAATTATATAAATGTGAGTTGGTGATTACCATTTTCTTTCATGTTAATTCTGTGTTGTGTACTTAGGGATGAAATAACATGGCCGTATAGATTTAAAAGGAAACAAAAAGTATTTCCTTTTAAAATCTCCTTTGAAATGTATTCAGTGTGCTGTAGTTTGTTAGCAAGTGCTGTAGTTCTAATAAAAAATGAAAAAAATGCTGATGCAGCTTTATACATTTGTGCTAGAGAGAAAGGAGCAGTAACAACCTACTCCCTAGTAAAAAAGCTTGGATGCTTCTCTGCTAAAAATAGTGAGAAGGTAAATTACTTACAAGTGACTTCAAACACAGAATATTTACAGTTACAAGTTATGAAAATAACTTTTTTCTAGAGGTATGGGAAGAAATTATTTTGACCTTTTACTGCAACCTTTGTCTAGAACATGGCCATATAGCCCGAAAAAACCCACAAGAACTGAGTGATTGCGGCCATGAAAGCCTTCGACAATACTTTGTCAGTTAGTTGTTCATTTTTGAGCTCCCTTTCGAGGTTAACAGATTATCAAAGAATCACAGTTAAAGGTAAACTACCTGTTCTTCTCCAAAATTACCATATATTATGAAATTGTTAATTATATCCTGCTTATTTATTTTTAGATGGAAATCCCTTCTTCCAGTATAATAAATAAATACATTGCTTGCCAAGGTCCTTTACCCAATACATGTCCCGATTTTTGGCAGATGACTTGGGAGCAAGGTTCATCCATGGTGGTTATGTTAACCACGCAAGTGGAACGAGGCAGAGTAAGTTAATGTATAGCTTTATTCAATCAAATTGCCAATCCAGTGCAAGTGACTCAATTATACCAGTCTGTTTGTATTCCTGTATTCTGAAAATGTTTGTTAAAATTAATATGCTTTTTTTTTTTGGTCGTGTCAGGAGCAACCGCTCCTGTTGTGAGAGAATTGGCCGTCTGCAAGGACGTTGCCCAGGGGACGCCTGGATGATTTTTGATCTTTTATCATCCTTGTGGGAGGCTTCTCTCATGTCCCCGCATGAGGAGCTGGAGCTAATAGAGGGAGCTCATCCGTCTCTCCCCGGATTCGAACCTGCGACCTGTCAGTCTTCAGTCCTGCCGGCACAGTGCTTTAGCCCACTGCGCCACCGGGGGCTCCTAATTAATATGCTTATACACAGCTTTTCTATCAATGCAGGTTACAAACTTGAAAACACTGAAAATAACAAACAAAAAAGTTACAAACTGTAGTTCTCTCAGGTTAATGGTCTCTTCAGCATCTGATGGCCTGAGTTCCCTGGGCTTCTACACATCTGTCATTCCTCAGGGCACACAATCTTAAATAACATAATAGGTAATAATGGGAAACAGTGCTGATCTGTGTTTTCTCAGGCCAAATGATTTTCCTTTTGGAATTTAGTAGCACAAGCAACCCCTGACGCCATTGAGCATTGGACAATTTTTGTAGGTTTTCACAGTTTTAGAAGGTCTTCCATCCTCTGAAACATATTTTTGTTGAGAGCATATTGCAAATTGATTCAAACACACACAAAAGGGCCTTTGAGCAACAGCAAGGTGCTTGGCGGGTCCCGGTTCTTGCCTTTGCCCCCACATTTTTCTCTGTCCCGAGGCCAGAAGCAGGAGGGCAGACAGCACGTGGGGCTGCTGCCTCCAGTTCCAGGACGGACATGCCCTGTCTCTTGGCATCTCTCAGCCTCCTGCGGGGAGGGAGGGGGAGAGTACCACCCAGGGGTTAGCTTCTCTGACTTCATGCCAGTGGTAAAAACAGAATTAACTAATTAACAAAAGGGACTGCGCATGGAAAGGTTTAAGAAACCCTGGTTTAGATGGTGGGGTGAAGGGAATCCTTGTCAAATTTGCAAATGATACAGAAGAGGGATAGTATCTAACACATTTGAAGATACCAAACAAATTCAAAAGGATATTATAATCTAGAAAACTGGTCTGAAATTGATTGATTGTTTGATTTTTAACACTAACAATCTAATATGTAATCAGAATAATAAATATTCAGAAAAAAGAAAAAAAGTATGAAAAATACATATAACTAAAACACAGTAGGGCTCTGACTTCCCATCCTGACTGTAACAAAAAATAAAAAGAGATGATTTTACTATTACAGATCCTGCTAAATGATTCTACTGAAATTACTGGTAACTATAACCATAGATCGTTACATTGTTAGACTTATTGCTTGAATAATTGCAATCTTTCAAATCATCTTCAGTTTGTTTATAATCTTGGGAAGGGAACAAGGGATGGAAATTTTTGTAACCCAAATACAAAGTCACCTGAGGGAATTACGACTTTCTTTGTTCTATACCAGGGGTTCTCAGTCTTTTTAAACTGAAGGCTGGTTCATGGTCCCTCAGACTGTTGGAGGGCTGGACTATAGTTTGAAAAAAAAAAAAAGAACGAATTCCTATGCACACTGCACGCATCTTATTTGTAGATCAAAAAATGAAAGAAAAAATCAAGATTTAAAATGAAGAACAATTTTAACTAACATAAACTTACCAGTATTTCAGTGGGAAGTGTGGGCCTGCTTTTGACTGATGAGATAGTCAGGTTAATTGGGACAGTTATTGTTGTGTGTCTTCAAGTTATTTCAGACTTAAGTTGGCCCTAGGTCTAAAATTTAGGACAGGGGCTGAGTAAATGATCTTGGGAGGCTGCATTCGTTTTGGGGCCCTGTTCAAGAACGTTCAGTACATGATGCAAACCGTCACTATGTACCTTTTTGTGTATTGAGATATCATTCTGAAGCAGACTGAAAGAGCAATCCACTAGACAGGCTTAATCCCTTATGTAAGGAGGCAGTAGTTGAAACAGTTTTGAAATCTAATGATTCCTTCTTTGATCAGATTGCCTTGAGGTTTTAACCCACATGAGGGGAATTTTTTCTTCATCCTTCCTAGAATGACTATTCTCTGAATTTCAACCTTTCAATTAGTACATTAACTCCTCCTTTAATATGGTTATGCAAGAAGTTATTTGTCCTGGTTTATAAAATGAATTCATGCTTCTTGCAGCAGTTTGAAGTACTCTCAAGAAAATTGGGACAATAAATCACTATGAAAACTGAGGATTTGTTTCAATCCTATTGAATTTAGGTAAAATGCCATCAGTACTGGCCAGAGCCCAGTGGAAGCTCCTCATATGGAAATTTCCAGATCACTTGCCACTCAGAAGAAGGAAATCCTGCTTATGTCTTCAGAGAGATGACGTTGTCTAACCTGGAGGTGAGCCACAGAATCTCTATATGATTTATTTTGAAACTTACTGCCTCGTGTGAATCCTGTACCCTAACTCTTATGAAAAAAAGTAATAATCTATTTCTTTAAATAGAATCTGTCCTGGCAGAACCTAAAAGAAGTATTGGTCCCTTCTACTCTCTCCACTGTGGCACCAATTTGGCCTTTTGAATGTCTGGGTGGGAAAATGACAGTGGTGCCTTTTTGATGCTCCCCCTCAGAGGAGTTGTCAAAAAATACTGCTGTTCAGTGCTTATTTTAAGCTCTCCTGGGACAAAGTAAGCTAAAAGGATGGGAATGTCTGTAGAATGACAGTAGGCTTACTCACAGGTCTTATTAAAATCCACACACTCAACTTATACGTGAGGATGATTTTTACAAGAGTATATGTGGTACTTTATTATATTTCATCATTTTTCCAAAGCTGGGATTCAAACAAGATTATATATGTATAATCAAACCAATAGCAGTTTTTGTATGAAGACTCATATAAGAAACATGCAAGTTCTCTGCTGCTTTTGTGCAACAATTGATTCTTGGCCAACTTGTTTGTATCAACATATAAATGGAATACACTAAAATTGTGTATCAGTGCTCTTCATAGGGAGAAACAGCCTTTTACCTGATGCAGGAAAATTCTAAATCTTACCATATAGATACACACACACACACATGCTGATTTACCTGTTACATCTTTAAACTATACTTGTCAGGTTGTCTTAAGTTTAGCCCTACTTCATGCATATAGCCCATGGAATTGATCTTATAAATCCATAGTGCATGCATCCATTTAATTCTCTCTTGAACTCCTGTTTGATAATTTTGTACTTCATTGAAGCATTTTAACGTTAATTTTGCAAAATGTAAGCTCAAATATTTGAGGAAAAAAACTGAAATGGATTTCATGTTTAAATTTAAAAGTGTTAAAACGATATATTGAAATATTGAGTTGTAAATGATCACATTTTGTTTCACTAGAAAAATGAAGACCGTCAGCTCACACAAATCCAGTATATCGCATGGCCTGATCATGGGGTCCCTGATGATTCCAGTGATTTTCTGGATTTTGTATGTCTTGTCCGGAAAAAAAGAGCTGGCAGAGAAGAACCAGTCATTGTTCACTGCAGGTATTTGGTTCACATGTAGAACTTTCTATTGCTTCTTTCCCGTGTTTTTTTATTTATTTATATTGTTACTTCACTTTAAAATACTCTTCAGTTTCAAATCCAGTTCTATATTCTTGATTCTATTAAAATAAATAGTTATTTGCTATTTTCTTTTGGCTTTCCTTATATGTGAACAGATTTGTCTACTTGTGCCTCTGTTGTAGGCCTCCCTGGGTCCCCTTCAGGGTGAGAAGGGCGGGATATAAAAGCAGTAAATAAATAAATAAATAAATAATAAATACTTGCTTTAAGCCATGTTTTTCATGCCTCACAAAAATATGACTGTGTTTACATTTAAAAAGATAGGATTTGGAAGGGAACTTATTTAACGATCTATCAATAACCATAATGTGAAATGTGTTATTCAAAACCTGCATTTCTTCTAAAAGAAGTGTCTGGCAGTGAGATATACAATAAAAAAGCATTGCATCAATGCCTTTTGCACATGCTGGTCTATAATTTGGTTCCTAAATATTAGTGAAAAAATTAACTGTTCTTTTTACAATCATTTTCAATGTATAGTTATGAGACTAAAAGTTGTTAATGTCAGTCATATTTAGTTTAGCAAATTCTTTGTACTGAAATTTCTGCTGGAAGCCACATATTCTGCTCTTGGCTCTTTTCTACTTTTCTTGCATCTGTGTGAATCAGTGGTGAATCTTAGTTGTTGTCCTGCCTGTGTAAAAAGATGTATCTTGGACATAGCATTGAGAATCCATAGGTTGCTAGTACTGGGAGATGTAAACATATATGATAAGGCAGCCTTGTCTGGATGGCTCAGGACTTCATGACTGCTGTTGACAACGACTGTGGAGCTGTTGCAGGATGTTACTGACCCAAGATAGGTCGCAGGCTGCATTTCAGAATTAGATTTCTCAGTTGTACAGGAAGAAGATGTTCTGAAGGTGAAGGCCTTTAAATTATCCTCTTGTCATGGTCAGATGATTTCCTCTCGAAATATAGACTAACAATGTCCTCCAATGCAGCAGTAGAATTATTAAGATGGTCTACCCCAGAGGATTTCTAAAATATTTTTTCTGTATTGTAGGACAGACTTTTCCATTAATTTGTGAAATGGAGATTTGTCCAGTTCACACAATCGCTTCCAGGTCATTTATCTTATTTAATGGGGTCCTATGTACATTCCAGAGCTTAGAACAGTGGAGTGGGAGAAGACTTCTGGGCAGGTGTAGTAAATTCCCAGACAAACTCTGCTAGATGTCTACAGTTGAGTTTGAAGTCGAAACACCTGGAGGGCCACAGGTTATACAGGCCTGTCTTAGAGGTAGTGAAAGCAATGAAAATGAACTAATTTCTTTGCCTCTGCTTCCTCTTTATATCACAAAGTAGAACTTTTCCAGGCATTTCAAGGCCTGTTATCTCACTATAAATTTTTGTAGCATTCCTTTTCAACTGTTATTCTTTCATATCCTGGAAGTAGTTGTGGAGATCATGGCTTTTGGGATGTTGTTGTTTGCTTGTTTAGCATTATCACTGAATAGGGCACTTTACAATAAAAGAACAATAAAATGTTTCCCTGTCCTCGGACTTATAATCTATTTAAGACATTATTCCAAAGGACAAAGGGATGGCAGAGGTTTTTATTGGCTGGGGTGTGTGTGTGGGGGGGGGGGGGGGGGGGGGGGGGGGGGGGGGGGGTGTTACGTCCAACAGATACTGCAGAAGGTTCTTCCATCTGCTTCTGGGTTTAGGCATGATAGAGCTCCTCTCTTCAAGGCCAGAGCAGTGGCAATTGTGGTGGTGGCAATTGGGATGCTTTTGGGCAAAGCTGTGCTTACTCCTTCTTAAATATTAAATAGTAATAATGTGGACTTTTTTTTTTTTGCTTACTCCCTGATCTCTTGGTCTTTTTTCTACAGACTAGAGGAGAAAGAGGTTTTGCTGGTGTTAAATTTAAGAAGTTGTTCAACTTTAGGTTTTTGTGACTTAGATTTCTTGGACATTTTTGCTATGTTATGCTTTCTGCTTTTGCCTTGATCTAATGTTGGTCTGTATAATGTTGGTGGTGGAGAAACAGGCCAGCCTTCAGGCAGGTGTATAAACTTGGATGGCCCTTTGTTATTCCCTGTGTCATTAATGACAAGTAATATTTGAGGTTCCTGTTGATGCCACCTTCTGGACAAAAGTAGAAATTAACTTGTTACCAAAATTGTGACAGTTCTGTATCAGATTAAAACAAAACAGCAAAATTTATGTAAACGAATTCTCAAATGCATACTGACATTGCAAATTAACATAGAGACACTTGAGCTTGCATAGTAGTCACCTAGAATATGCTGACTTCAGCTTGTTATTCTTAATTGAGATCATTCCTGATAAACTCAGTCTTGATATGGTTTGATTCAGATGTTAATTTTTATAATTAAAAATATTTAAATTAATATTTACAAAGCTTTTGATTTTTTAATGTTTAGTATATATTAAACACTTCAAAACTGGCAGTAATGGCAGTACTGAGATGCAGAGCTGAGCCCCTTGGTTAAATGTCTTATGATCATGCTGCAAGGAAAATAATAATAATAAATAAAGCAAATTGACATAGCATAAAATTGGACACAATGGGCAGGCCAAACGGACGAGGTAAAATTATAAAACCCTGGATGAGGTAGGAATAAAAAAAAAGTGTAATTGAGAAGAACCCAAAAAGGATGACCAGTGGGGTTAGGCTTTCAGTTTAGGAAGAGGGAAAGTGCATCATAGGGGCTGCACTGTAGATAGAACAAACAGAAATGGGATAAATGGTCACTCTCCAAAGTGATCTTTGATTGTAAATTGAGTCTAGTCTATGTCCATTCTGGAGTAAGCACATATATCTTAAGATTCTCCTTAAAAATGAGGGACAAAGTGAAATGTTTTTTCCGGTTTGATTTACCAATATGCTGCTCCAACTCTTTAGTTTTTGGATGTTCCTGATTTTCAGGCAAATAAGGGGGGAACCAGTTGAGCTGCTTTTACATCATTAGCATAATTCATGGAGTAGGTGAAGCAGTTTTCATGGAATGAAGGAATAATATACACTTTTGACTGGCCACTTGTAGTTGTCTTTGCTTATGCGCACTAAGTTTATCAGTCACACTAATATATCCTGTCTATATGACTCTCTCTCTCTCTCTCTCTCTCTCTCTCTCTCTCTCTCTCTCTCTCTCTCTCTCTCTCTCTCTCCCTCCCTCCCTCCCTCCCTCCCCTCCCTCCCTCCCTCTCTCTCTCCCTCCCTCTCTCTATATATATCAGTTGCTTTCAGCAATCAGTGTACAAGCAACTCTGCAGAATGGCAAAAAAAAAAAAAAAACCACCTCAGTGTCTTCTTTCCTAAATTCTTTATAAGGTTCAGCAGTTACATTAAATCACATTACTCTTTTAGTTATTAATGTTGGGTACTTGCTAATGACTTTGGTTTGTCAGCTGTGATCTTGCTTTTTCCTGCTAAGTACAAGCAGTTACTTCTGAATCAAATCCACTCCAAGTCCTTATTTTTTTTCTTAGACAATAACTGCTTGAAATCCTTCCATATAAAGATAAATAGCAGAGAAAAATGCAGGGAAATGTTTTCAGATGTGCAATAAAGGGGTGTATCTCCCTGATTTGTCAACATTGCTTTATAAAATCCAGTATTTTTGTAATTTTAAATAGAAATATAGGATTGGAGAGAGTACTTTGGATGGTCTATAATTATACTAAATAAGAAAATAGTAATAGCTGTATTGTGAATATATGACAACAATGTTATAAGCTTGCCTTACTTGACCCAGCAGATTCAGAAGATGCGGTCCTATATAAGCATGAATCTCCCTTAAAGTAATCTATATATGGATATGCCAGGAATAATGTATACTGCATCACACATGCACCTTCCAATCTTAAGTTAACATTTAAGCCATAATATGCAATGTGTTCAAAAAAAATTGAAGATACTTTTGAAAATCAGAAAATACTTTCCATAGGATCTTGGTCAAATACATTGAAAAAAAGAGGGAGGGAAAGAAAAGAGAAAGAAAAACATAATAGCATCTTTAATACTGTTTTGTATTTTAGTGTAAGTTTCCACTTCTTTAGAAACTACTACATTGGTTAAATACAGATTCGACTCATTCAGTAAAGTAGTTATGTTCCTAGACAGTACTTCTGTTTTAAAAAATACTAGAAATGATTTTTTAAAAATATATATATATCTTGCAGTGCTGGGATTGGACGAACTGGTGTTCTTATCACCATGGAAACAGCTATGTGTCTTATTGAATGTAACCAGCCTGTTTACCCATTGGATATTGTGAGAACCATGAGAGATCAAAGGGCCATGATGATCCAAACTCCTGTAAGTAGCACTTGTTTCTAACAACACACATTACTGCTTGAAATAAGTGATATTATTAAGTGTGTCCTGGCACTGCATTTTGTACAACTATTGGATGTAAATTTGAATGCATTACTTCAGTTTTGTATTACATAGATAGATGCAGCCAGAATAACACTGGTGCTCAGTAATTCATGATTTAGAATTCAGACCTCCATTCCCCTTCCTTTTCTCTATCACTCTTGCCACAGCTGCATTGGATCACATTGATCTGATTTGTTGCATCCCTCCCTTTCTTTCTCTCTTTTCTCTCACTCATTCCTTTCCCTTCTCTATCTTGTCTCTTCTGCTCCTGGATTGTGTCTGTGTCCTCTTCCCCTTCCCCAGTCATGGGGGATAATCAGCAGTATTCAGGCTTGATGATGCCTATTTTCTGTGCTCCAAATTTCCTTCATAAATGTGAAATGACTAATGGATTTGGATTTGACAGTGTAGTTTTAATAATTGTTTTAATACTGCTGTTGTTTTTTGAGTTTTGTTGCATATGTTTATTTTTATTGTGTTTATGTATATATACAGCATCCATTTGCTACCTGTTGTGAGCTGCTCTGAGTCCCCCTGCTGGGGTGGGAAGGGCAGGATATAAATATAGTAAATAAATAAGTAAATAACTCACTTTCATGAGTGGAATAGATGAAACTTCAGTACGCATATATCCTTTTCTGGATCCGCATCCACATTATAGAGCAAAGAATTAACAGCATGTCAAAGGATTCATTTGGGAGATGATATGAATGAAGAGTTTTGATCACTATGGCTATGAAAGGCATTTCACACACAGAGAAAGGGTGACTGCTATGCTGTTTCAGTCATGTAATTTGTACAGCTGAACATCAGAAGCAGTTGTTTTCCCCTTTACACTTCCATATTTTATCCACAAGATGGCAGTGTTCTGTTTTTATTTCCCCTCTTGTAATAAATTTTTAATTGGATTCCTAAATCCATTCTACTGTCTCTATGTGTTAAATACACATTTACTTGTGGGTGCATTCATTTTAGTGTAGACCTCCTCATAGTGTAATATAAACAGTGAAATATTCTGGTTAAAGCCCCTTCTTGAATAATGCAGCACACATTAAAGCCATGAGTAGTTTTAGTATTGTGACCTTTTAGCATTATATCTAAAATAGTGGCCAAAAAAGCTCAGGCAGCTCACCCAATAAAGCTATAATGTGTTGAGCAATGCTAGTGCAAACAAAACCACAACACTGAATGTGATGCATGTGCAACAGTGAAAGCAAGTCATCAAAGGTTTTTGCAAGTCATCAAAGTTTGCAGTATGACACTTTTGGATGCAGTCCTTATTTTTCCTTGTATCTGTTCTTCAACTTGGAAATAGTTTTCAGATGTTAGTATTAGATTAATACAGATAGCCAAAGTAACTTCCACCATGTTTACCGATCTATATTTTCATCCATTTGTAGCTTTTCGTATACTGAAAGTGAAACTCATTGTTATAACATTAATAGGTAAAGAGTACAACTTAATTTGTGTAAAAAAAAGTGATATTTATTAATGTGAAGAATCCACTTGGGGATAGACATGTATATTTTAACATTTTCAAAATGTTTTAAAAGTATTTTCATCACAATATCTTTGAAGTTTGCCAAGACATTCTCGTAGCTCACTGTTCTAAAAAAATCCCCCCCTTGCCCTCCTAACTAAGACATAAATTGCTGCACTTTCTTTTCCAGAGTCAATACAGATTTGTTTGCGAGGCTATTTTGAAAGTGTACGAAGAAGAACTTGTTAGACCTTTAAAGACATCACTGCATTAATAGAAGGCAAACAATACTTTACAGAAGAATCCATGTAAGACTGCACTTGTTGTGCCATAACATTGCTTGCAAGAAATGATGTCTGAAAACAATGAAGAACTGAAATGGACTTGGAAAAACTTCAGCACTGTTGCACTTTATGTTAAAACTGAAAACTGGTCTCTGAAACACTATGATTTTTTTCCCTGTCTCTTGGAAGACTTCCTTTATGCTTTGCTTCGAACAAACCACAGACTGAATGAACTCCATGCGTTCTGGATAGCTTTCCAGAGTTTGTTGTAGTGCCATATAGTCCCTTTGGTTTGAACTGCTACAAAAGAAAGGCTTGGAACACTCTCGCTCTTTATTTGACACCTTTCTCTCTCTTTTTTAAAGCAACAACAGTACACATAAAGCCATTTCTTCCAGTGCTACAATTTATTTGTCGTTAAGATTCTTGTTGTCTTTTGTTTTGGTGAAATGTTAGCAATATTATTACTACTAGATACACTGCCTATGGAAGCAGCACATTTTGCCCTATGCTCTTCTAAAAATCTAACCTGATTTGTTGTGAAAAGCTGCAGTTTGTTCTAACCCAGCAGTTGCTGCAAAGGCCCATTTAACCAGCAGCTTGGTTTAGGTTGGAGTAGAAAGAATACTTACTTTGAACTGGTAGCTGTCTCTCAGCATGTCATAACAATTATGTATTTGGAAACATCCGATGACATCACCTAATGGGAGAATGCATGAATATTGTCTTAACCCCCGAAGTGCCTAGAGACCTACAGTGTATGTCTTAATGGCAAGGCACCAATATTGCCCGAAAAGGGAAGTGTGATCTTGGTTGGTTTTACTTTTTCAGATTCACATTCTAAAGCATCGCCTCTTGGTGCTTCGAATACGGTACTGTTGCGGGGCAGGATCATAGAAATACCATTCCTTCTTTTTCTACAAGTACCTGCATGCTCCTCTGTGTAGCAAAAACATCCTGGCCTATTAAACATGTAATCATTGTTTACTACTCTGCAATGAAGTGGAAAATCTAGCACATTCCTTTCCAGTTGTAAAATGTTAGCACAAAACAACAAACCAGTGTCAAATTCTAGAGTTTTTTCCTTACTTTCAACTATAAAATGAGAAAAAAGCTTTGTCGTTTGAGTAGGACATGACTCCTCAGTAACATCAGTCTCCCACTTTTAAACATGAAAATTCCAAGTGGACCTTCCCTGATGTAATTCATATTTATAGTGTTTTTACAAGATTAGGGGGGAAAGGGAAGGGAGGAATGAAATGCCATCTTTTTGTCTGCTAAATATGCAACCTTTCTGTACGTTCATTGGGATTTTCTGTGTTGTTTTGCATAATGAAACTGGTTATTTATCTCCATTTAAATTCAGTAGCCTCGATGGAGGTGGTTGATTAATACAATGTCTCCGCTCATTCAAGGGTAATATGTAGTCTTTTTTGTGTTTTTGAAAATATACACATGTAATTCTAGGATCAGAAAAGCCAATTTGTTTGTAAGGATGTTCTCCTTCCTGCACAGCAAGTGTATGTTTCAGACCTTTATGAAAATTTAATCTGCCCTGTATTTGAATGCTTTCATTAGGGACCCCATTTTAAAAAAATCAGTCATGGAGTGAAATATTTTTACGATGGCTTTTAAAACATAGCTATGATAAAGAGAGAAAGGAAGACACTGTGAGGATGGATGTAGACTTCTCAGCAGAGCCCTGTGCAGAATCCCATATTGGTGTTTAGAGGCTCCTGCTAGTAATAAGAGGAGAAGGTTAACTAGCTATTTGGCTTCTTATCCTGCAAATGCTTGCAGCCTCCAGAGTCTGCTTGATGCTGGGGGAGGAATCCTTAAGCAGATTTTAGAGGACACTCTGGGCTTCAGGGAGAAGAAAAGCTCTTCTCATATTCTCCAGCTCTTTGATTTGGAGAATGTGAAGTCTGCATCCAACCCATGGCATTGAAAATGTATTCCCATTCATTTAACTTCTGTAGGGCAAAGATATACCAACCTCATTCCCTTTTAAGAGAAAGTTTTAAAGGCTTTATAATTTTTAAAAAAGGAATATTGATTGTGTTACTTATTTTAAAAGCAAATTTTGTTTCTGGATTTGGGATTATTATCTTTAACTATATCTTCCTTTTTGGGTCACTTATGAAAACGAATACCAGCGATGAGTGATTTACTTTATCCAGGTTGTAGTTCAGATGGTATTATCTGTAATGGGTTACTTACTATCCAGTCTGTAAAAAAACACAATCCTTTTCTCTACTTCCAAAAACTGAAGCAATTCCTAAAATGCACTTCTATTTTTGCTATCTGTGGAAATAAGTGATGATTCTGGTGATTGCTTAGAATTGTGCTGTGCTGACACCTAAATTATCTCTAGTGGAAGGAAGGAATGTTCAACAGTTTTGTGGAAAGTCTGCAGTGGTGGCTCTTATGAAACAATATTGCGGCAAGCCCAAAGAGGAATAATAGTAAAATTAAACATGCTAAACGCTTCTGTTTTCATAATCTTACTTTGAAAAGGATTGGCACCTGGTAAGTTTTATGCTTTGGATTTTGTTACTATTTCTGTTGTTTTGTGTCATGACATTTGTTTTCAGGGCTATTTTACACACTTGTGACATGTTAAATTTATATATGAAATTGTTTGCATTCACTCTAGAAAAGAACGTACAATTTTACTGTTGCCAAACATATACATGAAGACAGCATTGCCCTTTTTATAAACTAGATGGAAGAGAAAAACTAGGAGGTATATATACCCTTGGTATTTTTACATATGCTGATATTTTACCTATACTGATATTCTTATGAGAGTTTGCCAAAGCAATCTGAAGCTGTGAGTAACCTTTATCCCACAGTGTATAGTTTTGTTGGGGTGTAGTTTTGATTTTTCATACATTGATCCAACATAGAGACAGAAACATTAGCTGCCTTAAAAGTCTCAATCTCTCCGATATAAGCTGATCCAGGTTTACAGTCAGTGTCGATGAAGAAATATTTGAAGAGATTACTTGGGCAGCTCATCAGCTAATCAAGCTACAGAAATTTCCCTCAAATGTGCATATATGATAGAGGCAGATTGATAATAAAGCATTGTTATGCATTAAAAGAGAAATGTCCATAAAATGCATCTTCCCATTGGTATAAATAGCCTTTTACTAATATTTTTATATGGCCTAAAAGTTAATATTGCTAATTACTTTGCATTGGGTTACGAAGATATGTATCAAGCTAAAAAGAAAAAGAAAAAAAATATTTTTTGTATGTGCTTCATTCTGTACAAAACATGAATGTATGTTTCAGGCATAATTACATAAAGTGATGAGTGTTATGGGTGTTGGATTTTATGGATAATTATTTTCTTACTATTTCCTAAAAAAGATGGGGAGAGAGAAATTGTAACACTTCCTGTTTTTTTAAAAAAATCAAGTTTTTTTTCATTGTAAATAAGAGCAATGGGGTAATAGTTTTGTGCCAATGTATGTTACAGATGTATGTTTTTTTTTAATCTTGAAGACTATGATTATTTAAGGTACTTTTGAAGGTTCTCTACTGCAGAAATCTAGGTTGCTTCTTTGCCTTTTTTAAGTTGTGTGGCTTTTTGGGTAATGGAAGTATATTTTAAGGTAAGTTAAATATGAAGTATTCATTGTCAGTCATTCTCTGAGAAAGCCAGTTAATTATCCCACTTAGAGATGTGAGGAAATTATGGCCCCCATTGTTATTGGATTGTAAGTTCCAATAGCCCTAACTAGCATAGCAATTGTGGGAAAATGCTGGAATTTACAGTCCGACATGATCTGGAGGGTTACATGATGATCCTCACTATTAACATGAAGCATTGTCCCTCCAAATAATGGCAGTGGTTTACCCATTTCTGGTAGTGCACTAGTTTCTGTACAACATTACTACTAGCATTAGAACAAAGTTGATTTTAATGTAACTATTGGTATTTCCATTTCCAGAATGTACTTTCTTGAGCAATCTAAGTGTAGAATGAGGTAGACCATCAGTTACGTTAAGCTAAAGCCTTAGACATTTTCTCTGAAGTACTAAACTCACCTTTAAACCCAGTAGTACAAACTATTATATTACATTATTTTTCACTAAAGTCGTTCATGTTGCAACTTTGGTTGGTAGCTTTCTTCTGAATTTTATGAATAAGTTCTTCTTGTAAAACATCATAGAGTTAGTGTAGACGGCAGTGTATTCATAGCCGATGGATACCAATATAGAAATGATACTCTCCTCTTATAGCAGAAGGTACAAAATGCAAGTGAAGAGAGATGGGGAGAGGTGTTTTGGCATAAGCATTCAGGCCAGGACCTTGCCACCAACCAATGTGCAGGTGATAATTGCATCATCTGTGAAAGGGAGAAAACAAAAGTGCTTTAGCTGCAGCATTTGCGGAGGCCAAGAAGTGGAAAGGTAATGCATGGAGTCTCAGCAGCTTTTGTGTATCATGGAGCAGAGCTCCTCTAGAGTTTTGGAAGGTGATCTGCTTGATTGAGTGCAGAATTACAAGTATGTGGCCAGTAGTTGGCAACTGATGGTTCCCCAAGCCTTTGAAAGTCTTGTGGGATTTGTAACTCATGTGCTATATTAACCCCTTGTGTGTTCTGTGTAAGTGCCTTTCCTTACTTTTATAATCAACATTTGGAAGGGAGTCAAGATAATCTGGTACGATGCCATCCTTCCCCCCCATACTTTCACTAATAGCAAGATTCACAAATGGCTTAGGACTACACATGTTGTGCAAAGGAAACTTCTGCATGTTATGCCAACATTTGTATTTCAGCATTAGAACCAGAATCTAGTTGTCTGCATGTGTACTTCACCAGTGCAAATAGAGGGCAAATTGAAAGAAATAACGTGAAGAAAGCAGTAAGGAAGAGCTGCTATCGAACTTAGTGAGACTTTGGGTTCTGGTGACATGGAAATTAATGGAGAGACGCCAACAAGCCTCTGAGCATGCTTAACTGGAAATGAATTTCTTTAGTCAGTTGGATGGACTTTGGAATAAATGAGGCTCTTGCCTTAAGCACAAATACTGCAACTTGAGTGTATAGGTACTCCTGTGCAAGTGGAAAGTGTGTTTGCAGGTGATGCCTCACAATTTTTTCTTTTTCCTCTTGTTATATTTCCTCCCCTTCATCCAATGTCAGTCTAAAGAATCTATACTGAGTTTCTGGAGGTGCAGTGAAGACATGATAAGAAAGCTTAAATATCAGCTGTAGGCTTAAGTAGCTTGTCATTTGTGATCTACGGATCACTTTTTGAATTTTAAATCTAGATTTGTTGCACACTTGCTTTGGGGTACTTTTGATAGGTTGCTTGTGTGTATTTGAGTTTGCCTTCTAACCGTAATATCCAGCTGCCATGGAAAACAAACTCAGCCTTCGTTTTCAT